CATATCTGTGGAGAGGCAATCCTGCTCACAGAAAGAATGCATATAAGGTATATTTTAGCTATACAAACACCCATAACTGAATAAATGCAAGATAGATTAGTTTAATGCCATACTGTGGGACATCCTAGGCAAAGTATTAACATTTCCTTGGAGACAAGCCATTAGATGAACCCCACCATTAAAAAGTGGCATAGTACACCTTTACAATGATTCTTCTTTAGATTCTCTCACCCTAGGTATGATGTCAGTGTTATGTAAGTGTATATTGTAGTCACATAGTACTAAAGAACTCACTGTATCCCTTTGTATCTTTGTGCTGGGATTCCCAGTGTGCACAGATAATGAGGGTAACCCTCGGGCCCCAGGCGAAGTGTGGAACGGCTCTTTGCGTGGTTGCTGTCTGTACAAGTGTATGGAGAACGGCTCGGTGGTGTCTGTGGAGCCAGACTGTGACTCTGTGCCCACTCCTCTCTGTGAGAGAGAGGGAGAGTATGTGCTGGATGTGCTGGAGGAGGGAGCTTGCTGTCCCAAGAAAATCTGTGGTCTGTTTGAAGATCACTTTACTCTGTATAACACATGGATTAGACATAGGATTCATCTATGTTCTTACTGCTCTTTGTAGAATGCAATATGACCATTTGTGACAATGAAGCCCCACCCTGTGACTATGGAAACCGACTGGTGATTGGTTACAGTGCTACGTCATGCTGCCCAGAGTACAGATGTGGTGAGAGCTTATTTTATCTAGCATGCACTGCAGACATGCACAAATGTTGTATTTATTATTTGCACTAGCCTTTAAATGGCCTTTAAAGTGCCTGGTCTTTTCAGAGTGTGACCCGATGGCGTGCCCTCCTGTGTCCTCCCCTGAATGCAGGGAGGACCAGTTTCTGGTGGAGGTCAGAGGGTCCAGATCCTGCTGCTATTCGTACCTGTGTGGTAAGTTTAATGGCTGCTACAGGTCGGGCAGAAGTAAGGACCTTTTGCTTATGAGGTCAAGCTGTTTACTGCCATCAGCCTACCACACAAATACCTGTTCTGTGTATGCAGTGTGTGAATCATGCATTGAGCCTATTCCATCCTGTTCCAATGGGGAAATTCTGGCTGTGGATCTGAATACTACTAACAGTTGCTGTCCACGTTATCACTGTGGTATGAAGGCAGTTCCTTATATCAAACACACTTACGGTTGTTTATAGACTAAGATTGTTGTCTTTATTGTACAGTGTGTGATGTGAACCTGTGTTCAGAGTCTTCTATGAGCTGTGCTCAAGGCCTCTCTCTGATTACAACTACAGTCCCAGGACACTGCTGCCCTCAGTATCACTGTGGTACACATATTACACTATGTGCTGTCTGAAAATTAGAATTTGGACATTTGGACACACACATATATATATATGTGTGTGGGGGTGTGTGTGGGTGTGTGTCCAAATGTGTGTGTATATATATATATATATATATATATATATATAAACATCATATTTCTTGATTAAATTTAATAATATTAATAATCCATGACATGTAAATTAACTGTTTTTGTTGCTGTCAGAATGCCAATGTGACGACAACTCCCTCCCCAGCTGTCAAATTGTATGTTACAACAGGAAATGCAAAATATCCACAAATAAATACATTGAATAAATAAGAGTGTATTCACAAAGTGCTCTCTGCTTTTAGGGAGAGGTGAGGGTGGAGCTTCCAGAAAACAATGGGGACTGTGACTGCCTTCAACATGTATGCCGTAAGTGCATTTGAACCAGTACAATTGTACCAGTGTACTGTATCAATGCTGTATGTGCCCTATATCTAACTATTATTTGATACATAATACTGTGCTGATCTTCCACAGGGAAAGCAGATGTGTGCTTGTTCCAGGGTGTGACTGTTCTGGGGCCTGGCCAGTCTCTAGTGCAATATTTTGAGGGAGAAATGTGCTACACTGTGCACTGTCTGCATCGCAAGGACCCCGATACAGGCTTCTATGCTATGGAGATCAGCTCAGTTAACTGCTCTCAGAAATGTGGACCTGTATGTAGCAAAGATAGAGACCTAGTATTTTTTGTGGAAATTATTTATGACTGCTTTTGTGTTCTTTCAGCATCAGATCTATGTACCATCCACAGATCCTCAAGTCTGCTGTGGTTCATGTAAAAACATCTCCTGCACTTTTACTAATGAAAATGGAACCACAGAGCTTTTTGCTGTAAGAGTCAACCAAAGCGATTACTTTGCTACCTTGTATGACAATATTTTTATGAAATGTGTCCACTTTTTCTTGTAGGCAGGGAGTTCGTGGGTAGAGAACTGCACACGGTTTGACTGTATGGAGACAAGTGTAGGGGCAGTGGTCCTGGCCTCAGGGGTCATATGTCCTCCATTCAACGACACAGAGTGTGTTCAGGTCTGCTCTCTTTTATCTAAAGACATGCTCCATCTAACTTCTAACTCATTCTATATGATATGAGTGTGTTATATTCCTCCTACAGAACGGTGGTGTGGTACAGAGCTATGTGGATGGATGTTGCAGGACGTGTAAGTCACACAGTGCTTTGGGTAATGCTTAGAGTGCTGGATCAGAGCGGTGAGCGCCTTGTTGCCTGGCAGTCGGAGGGGCTTGTTGGCTGTTGGGGGCGTGGGCTGGTGTATACAGGAGGCTGAAGGAGCAGTATGCTGAGCCTGCCGTTACATTTGTCACAACTTTTATCAAATGTCCACTAATCTTATGCATTACATATACAGTATGTGCACTGCTATAGTTTAAGAGTACCAAATACGTATTTGGTTTCTTACATGTTTAAAGTGATAGAAATTATACCTGTGTATGATCTAATCTATGATTATCTAGTCCTTTGAGTTTAATGTGAAAGTTTGACTTTAACTTTTTTGAAACACTGAAATAGCTCTGGTCTCTGTGCAGCGCTGCTTGCTTGCTTCAGCCTGGATCTTGCCGTTTGGTGAATGTCAGGTGCAGTGGTTCCAACTTTATCCTGCTGTGCTTTTTGTCTGTATTGAATGACCGCAATGCCTGGCTGGGCCCAGTAACTCCCAATGCACACCCACGTGCATGCAGGCTGCATTCACTGCATTCTGTAATTCTCATTATATTAACTCTTTGTGTTGTTTGAACTCAATTGTGATCCCACCAGGTTCTGGAGTGGGTGTTTTACCATTTACCGTTAATCCAGTCACTCCCACTGGTAGTACTAACTGTGACACAGGTACCCTCAACTTACACATCTAACATACCATATCTGCATGCTTCCTCTATTTGCGAAGTATAGTGTTTGTAAAGATAACTATAGTATTGGCATAAAGTGTGCCACTGAAATCTGATCCTTTATTCATTAGTTCGGCTCTAAATGATCATCCCAGACCACACCTCCAACATCAGTCTGAAAGCTCTACTGCTGGGCAACAAAGAGACACACATGTGTTTTTGTGATCTTTATACCTTTTCACAGACCTCACATGCTTCTTCAGTTTTTAATTTCAACTTGTACTTGCCTTTTACAGCATGATCAGCATAAATAATATACATTACTACCATTTATTTTGTAAATCATTTTGTGTATCTCATTTATAGGTAAAGAAGATGGCAAAACCTGCAAACGTGTGGCTATAAGAACCACCATAAGAAAAGATGACTGCAGGAGCAATGCACCAGTGAGAAACACATCATTATCAGTCAGTGTCTCCTTATTGTTATAGCTCTCTCCGTTTGTTTTCTTCCCTTAAAGGTGACTGTCTATTCCTGTGATGGCAAATGCCCCTCTGCGACCATATTCAACTTCAATATCAACAGTCACGCTCGCTTTTGTAAATGCTGTCGGGAGAGTGCTCTACAAACACGCTCCGTCACACTCTACTGCTCCCGAAACGCCACTGTGGTGGAGTACAACTTCCAGGAGCCTCTGGACTGCTCGTGTCAGTGGAACTAAAACACACTGCAGCATGCGTGTGAAGAGTGCCACGTTTAAACCACTAATGGACTGGCCCTGCCACAGTAGTGTTGTACTGTATGTCTCACTGTCACACATCCTCTGCACTGTAGTGAACAGTAGCCAAGCCTCTGCTGGCCTCTTGGCTCCCTAGTCCTTTTGGTAGTGCTACACTGTCATTTAGATCATGTGTATTATCCTTTAATGCAACCAGTGTTTTATTTTTATATCTATTTTGATATCTACCTTTGCAAAATGTTGATGCTTTAATTATTGGAAATTGCTATTTCTGACTGGCAATTAGTAACTGTACATTTTGAAATGGCTTAAAATAATAAAGATTTTCTTCACACACAAACACAATGTTGTCTTGGTCCTTAATATGTCCTTGGCTCACAGTGATGTGAGTAAACACACTACTGCCTGAGTCAGCCTCCTTGTGCTGACAGCAGCTGACCTTTGACCTGGAGCTGTTATTGCTATGGTGGAGTCACCTTTAATACCAGCACCCCTCACTGGACTGTTACAGCAGTCAGCCTTATTTCTCTCCCCTCACATGCCGATCATTCCATACTGGCCGCTGCCTCAGCCACACCCGCTCCTGCAGCCAGAGCACACTCTACGCTGTTCTATACAGTTTGGGCCATATTTAACAACTTACATAAACACACTGAAATTAAAAAGTGACGTATTGTATTGCTGTCAGTGGTATGTGAACTTTCTCTCTCACTCTTTCTCGCTGCCCCCGCCTCTGCTTATATTCTCCAAAGCAAGTGGGCTGAACTTACACATAAACTCTCTCCTCCCATACATTATAATACAGACTTGAAGATTTCTTGTTGAGTGAGACACAGAATGTCCACTACATTTAAGTTCATGCTGCTATGATGACATGGCATGTAATTGCATGTAACAGCTTTGAGGTGTTAGTTTGAGTGGAAAAACCTTGAGTCACTTCAACTATCTGACATTCATCTTTGTCAAGGATCTAAATAGTCTGGGACTTTCCACAGCCTTACCCACGGCTTCTGTTTGGAATGATCTTGTAAGCAGTAACTTCTCACTGTGGATGCAGGAGGGATGCGTCCAGGGTAACACTGTGCCTAGGGAAATAGATTTTCAATGGGTGGAACAGAGCATCTTCTAATATTGGCAAGTGTATGTCAGGTAAGTAACACCCTTGCATATATCCCCACTATAACATTCGAAATCATCTCTTTGTTTCACTCTCAGGTGGTTTGGCTGACATGTGAACGACATTCCAGTCCTATTGAAGTTAAGATGGAGTTTCATCCTTTACCAAACAGTCAGGAAGCTGACAGCTACCTTGTCACCTGCAGGACTGCAACTCACCAGCTGGTAAAACACAAAAAGACATAATAATTGAAATAGAGACAGCTTACTGTAATTACAATGTATGACCTGTGGGATATGCACCAACCCAGGTGTATTGTAGATGTCAGGCCAAACTAACTAATAATTTGAACTTTTAAAGAAGAATAACAGCCTTTTAGCCATCTTAAAATGCTGTTACCTCATCAAAAACGTATCTGAAGTTATGCTTTGTTTCATTCCTGCATGTTTGAGTAACTGAAATGTTGGGCTGTCTACCTCTCCAAAGCTCAAAATGCTCTTTTCCACCTTGTGATGTCATTAAGTGGTGTAGATTTTAAGTTAATAGTTATTTTACCCTCAGTTGCACTGTTTTGTTGTTGCCATTTAAAAAAAAAAAGTTTTTGATTCAGTTGAGATTGACACAGAAAGTTAACAATATCTTTTCACGAAAACTAAAACAATAGCTGTAGCTTCAAAATTTGGCAAGTCCAGGACTGCAAATTGTTCAAATGATTCTAGTGAAGTGTATGGAGTTTAAAAACACAGTGAAGCAACTCCTGTATTACCTCTTGATGGCATCACAATTTTTTTTTCAGTCTGAGAGAAGAACAGAGAATTAGGCAAGGCAAGGCAAGTTTATTTGTATAACACAATTCGTACACAAAGTAATTCAAAGTGCTTTACAGAATAAGAAATACATTAAAATCATAATAAAAACTAATCAAAACATAAATAATCATGAAGATTAAAATTAAAAAAGAGAGACATAAATTGGAGAGAAGAGTGCGGAATGAAAACCTTTCAGTCATATGCACAGTTAAACAGAAATTTTTTGAGCCTGGATTTAAACAGCGTCACAGAAGAGTTGTCTCACATGTTCAGGAAGAGGCCGGTCCCTGAGCTCCTCAGAGTGCGAGATGGTTCATATGACACTAACATGTCACAGATGTACTTTGGTGCTCGGCCATGGAGAGACTTGTACACAAGCAGAGCTGCTTTTAAGTCTATTCTCTAATAATAATAATTAAATATACAGACTAATAAAATCATGTAGCTTCAAAATTATAACATATATCAAAAATATTTGTATTATAGGCCTTTTAAAAGTCAATTCTTATCACAACAAAGACGTCTGCCATTCTTCATCTGTTGTCAGAGCAAATGCTTTCTAACCTGTTCAACTCAGATTATTATTTTTTGTTTCTGGTGGCACAATCTTATGATTGCTCAGTCCCACATAAAACTGCACAGACACATATTTCATAATTATCAAGTGCAATTTATCACATGTAGGTGAACCACATGAAGTCTATCACATACATGCGACCCATTGTTTGCCACTGCCAGCCGTGTTTTATTATAGTTGGACTATGTAACCTTTCGAATGGAGACCCCACTAAACGCAGATGTTATCTCCAGATGTTATTGCTTTGCCCTTAGTATGGCAATAAACTTAGATTGATGCATTTACTTAATTTTATTGCTAAACATACTTTGAAAAAGCATTCATTCAGTCAGTGTCGTGTCTCCAGATATCTGAACTGTAACTTGCCCTTGTGAAGTCTTCTGCTTGTGTCCATGGAGATAGATAAGATTAATGACATACTGTGGAACATTCCAGGCAAAAACAAAATTTCTATGAAAACAAGTAGGTAGCGAACCCCCACATCAAACAAGTTAAATAATACCCCTTTAAGTAATTCATTTATTGTTCTGTATCCATCCTTTTGGAGGTCATGAGAGATTAGAACTTCCAAAGACTGCACACAAAATTGGCAGAGCCCCAATCATCATAACTTTTAAAGACTAAGAAAGATTTATTGCGACAGCTCAGTCAGGACATGTCTTTGGACAGTGGGACAGTTCTTAAAACAAGTGTTAGAGCCAGCCCATTCATTAACATCTTTTTATGTCAGTTTTCCTTTGAATTATTAGCTTCATTTTTTGCAGTTTAAAGTAAGTTGGGAAACTAATCTTGAAATTTTATGACACTTGTACAGGAAGCTCAAGGACCTAGACCTCATTTTGCCTCTAGACTAAAACTTGGCCTTTTCTGATTTATCTACATCAGGCCTATTCAAGTTGCAGCCAGGGGCCAGATCAAGCCCTCCAAACAAGCAAATCCAGTCCATAGCCCACATTCCAAATATTAAATATTTTTTTACTGGTTTTGTGTTGGTTTAGATGTAGTTTGCAGTTAGACTTTTTTGATCCCTGAGGGAAATTACTTTTACACAGTAGCTCACACAAACAAACAAAAGAGATGTAAAGGTGAGTTGGTGTACGGTTGTATGGAATATGGTATGAATGAATGAATAGAGCTGTAGGAGCCTGTTAGAGAATGAGCTCCTTTGTCTCTCTATAGTCTGGTGCAGTGGGTGAATAGGAGTGTCCTTGATGGAGAGCAGTTGTCTAGTGTCCTCCTGTTACTCACTGTGACAAATGTCTCCAGCTCACAGCCGATCACATGACCAGCTTTAGAACCAGTTTGTCAATCAAAAAAACATCCTAAAGGCACTGTTCTAGTCTTACAGGTTCACCAAGGACTGTAAAAGTGATATTGATAAAGCCTTTATTATTTTATTTTTCACAAAAATCAATTGTTATATTGTTATTACTGAAACAGATATAGTGTTTGGGTTATTTTGAGGCTATGGCTCTGCAAAAATATATGAAAATGTAGGTCAACAGCTCTGATCTATATGTCTTAAACGCAGCTTCCATTCTCCAGGTGCATGAAGAACCAGTAGCATGCTCATCGTGTTCTCCTGATTGCGCTCTGTCCTTCCACATCCTTGAGGATTTGAGAGGTTATCGAGTCACGCTGACGCCAAGGACTAATAACAGCAGAACACTCGCCGAGAGGACTTTTGACTTCAGTGAGTATCATCCAAACAATGCCCCCTGATTACACCATTCACTGAGCAGGATTCAACTATTATGTTGTGTTTAGGCCCGGTGTCTCCAAGTAGCTTTCATCTCTCCAGTACAACCACGTCTGTGTCCTTAGCATGGAGCCTTCCAAGACAACATGTGCTGTACAATCTAGCCCTATATGACCTCCACGATAGTTCTGTAATCAGGAGTGTGGACATAAACTCTACAGTGAGACAGTCCCATTACACTGTCAATGATATTCAACCAGGGGCACGCGTCAAAGCTGCTGTCATAGTGTCTGCGTTTCTCAAGGACCACAATGTGACACTGAAACAGCGACTCACCATGGTTATACAGACAGGTACAATCAATGAGAACTGCTACAATATATGAAAATATCTTTATTTTTGTCTTTTCCTTTATTTATTCTACTGTTAGGAAATTTCATTGTTGCACTACAAAGATCAAGAACAGCCAGAGAATAGAAACCGAAATATGTAATCAAAAATCAAGATGTCAAGTTATATGTGTCAAGTTATATGTTATAAACTTGTGTCTAAACTTATGATTTGTGAATTGTTGTCTATTTTGCCCTAAGTTTATGGGCAGAGGGCAAAGCTGATTATAGAGTAAATTATAAAACAGACCTTCACCAGTGCAGGAAGAAAACCACATATTTATTCTTTGCTCTCAGTAGCTCAGCCCTACTGAATTTGAAACATAACATTTTGAAATGAATCTACTTGAACAAGCACTTGATTTGCGCCTGAATGAAATCTCTTTTTTGGCTGCTTATACCAAATAGACCAAATATACCAAATAGAAAAGCAATATGAGGACAAAATATATCTGGTTCAGGAATGGCATTAAAGGACCTATATTAGATGGATTTTTCATCTGTTATAATGTATCCTCATCAAAAACTAGCTACATGTATTGTTTTAGCTTTTTTGAAACTACTTAATTTATAGTGCACCAATCTCAACTGAAGAAAAGGTAAAATGAAAAGGGAACAACTTGGTGGTTATTCTAGTGTATTGTAGAGTAAATCAGTAAATCAGTTCAAGGCTAAAAATACCTGTTAATTTTAAACTACCACATGATGACATCACAAGGTGGAATGGTGCATTTTGAGCTTTGGCGATGTAGATAGCCTAATAACACAGGATTACTCAAACATGTATGTATGTATGAAACTAAACACAACTGTTTGTATGTTAATGAAGTAACGTTCCTGAACACGACTAAAAGTGTCAATTTCCATAATATACGAGCTTTAATACCTAAAATCATTTAAAATCATTTACCATAATTTATTGTTAAATTGACCAAAGTGACAGACTTCTGTTACATACCATTATCATGATCCAACCAGCATCACTGATTGCTTAGTGTTTGCTTTGAACCGTGCTGTGATTCTGTTTTGTGTGACTAGCCCAGTGCCCCCCCAGCTGGCTGGCCAACAGAAGACACTGCTACACTGTTGAGAAGAAAGCTTTAGCCTGGAGCCAAGCCCAACAGAGCTGTTCAGACAGGGCTGTGGGGAGTCACCTGGCCGATCTGAAGACCCGCCAAGATCTGCACTTTATAACTTCACGCCTAATGAGCCACAACAGCCTGCTGCTGCTCTGGACCGCGCTCAATGACAGGCTGGTAATGCACAAGACACAGAGACAACCACAAGGCTTACAGGAACTGGTTTGGCTTTAGTAAATTCAAAGAGAGAGCTACAGAGAAAAAGTTATGTGATCCAAAAACATTTACAAAGCTTAACTACAAATTCTCTGAAGCGAGACGTGGGTAGTGTTTAGTTGCATTTACTCAGTTGCATTTACTTGAGTAACACTAACAGCATCCTTTTTAATCCTTCTTCAGTATTTTTTATAGAAGTAACAGTCTCACTTGAATAAAAGTTTTGGGTACTCTTCCTACTGTGAGTCCTTCAGATATGATTTAGTTTGTCTCATTTCTCTTACATTAGTAACTTGTTGGGCCACTACTTTGAACTTCTAATATTATTTTGAAGGAAAAATTTTTGGCTACTCTACCCACCTCTGGGTATTTGAAAATACATTTTCAAATCAGTTTCCTGTTAAATTTACAGATACCAAGGCTTTAACCACCCCAAATACTACATTATGCAAAACTAACAAGTGATTGATATTTGGAAAACTATTTACTTAGAGTTGAATTCACTTTTAATCAAGAAGAAATATTTTTGACTTTGCTAAAGATGCACTATGTAACTTTTCTGGAGAAGAGTGCACCATCTGTTTCACTCCATGATGTGATTATTTTGTCTAGACTACCACAGTGTGGTATCCATCTCTATAGAGATAAGCAGGTGATACTAACAGGCCAAGCCACAGGTCAGATCAATAGAGAAGTGACCCTGCTCATACAGCAAGTTTTTCACAGAATTTTTGATAATAATATGAATGTAACTAAATGAATACAAAACAAATCATTCTACTCTTATACACTGGAATATTCCAGGCAAAGCAATACAATCTCCATGGAGACAAGCAAGTTAACTTTTAAATAGTAATAAATCTGTACACTTTACACAAAGCTTGACAAGCCTCTCAAAGCACCACATTGTATTTATTGATTCCCTCCATACTCAGTGGTGGACAACTACGTCTATAGCACCAGCTGCCTTGAAATAGCAGAAGAAAGGCTGCCAATCTGTGCCCACCTCTGACCACCACCTATCACTCACACAGACCACATTCATCTTGCCCAAGGACACAACAATAGTATGCAGTGGTGGGCGTTCGCTCGAACCACTGAACCAGAAAGTTTTAGAGAAAATTGTCAAGTAGTGGAAAAACATTTACCAAACAAAACAACACATTGTGAAAGCTGCTTGAAGGTCAGTGGTGGAAAGCTTTTGAAAGTGAAGTGCCTCCTATTCATAGAGGAAGGTTGTTTTTTATTAACAGTTTTTCTACACGGAATAGCCACACGTGAAAGATGGCTCTCATTTAGAAAGACCAGTGTACCTAATCACCTGAACACCTCATTGAAACGATAATTACAAGACTGCTACAAACTGTGCTGTAGATGAATTTGTGGCTAAATTTCATTTATTTTGTATTTTTATTTATGTATGTATTTATTTATTTTTATTCTGACAGAATTTTATTTACAACAATATACTATTACAATTGGCAGTTGAAGAGTATTTTAAATTAGCAATGGCCTATATATTGGTTCCAGTATTTTAGTATCGGCCAATATTAATAGCTTTTTTAATATCTCAGTATTGACTGGTATCAATATTTGACACAAATATTGGATAAGTAAATTAAGTAAATTACTGATCTTTGTGGACCATGTTATGGATTTTAAAAGCCAAATATAGGTATCACAGCCACAGGAGCAAGCAAAATATCGTATCGACTCAAAAAATCCAGCACATACCTTCTTTAAATGTTTGGATCTGTAAAAAGAAAAAAGATTTAATAAAAAAATAGTACTATGAAAAATGTTTTGCAGGGCATAACATTTACAAAAAGGAAACTCTAGAAGATCACTACATTTGAAAGCCAATGTATCCCGTTAAGTGCACAAGGTGGTTTATCATTGTCATTCTGCAGGCGGAGGGCCGGGCTGTGTGGTCGGACGGATCGCTCAATAATATGACCAATAGTGTGATGTCATCAGTTCTCCCGGAGAACCAGAGTGACTGCTTTGCCCTTCAGAGGAATGCCACAGGGCCTGGATACTTCCTCACTCCATTCTTCTGCAGCATCCCTCTGCCTTTCATCTGCCACTACCCCAGTAAATCAGCACCGCTACTGTATTTACATGACACTTTTACTGGGAGTCTGGGGTTACATTTTCTACAGTTTCTCATTTGTTTTTCTGCAGAGGATCAAATAAACACACGAGCATATATACATGTAAATGGAAACAAAGCAAATTTGTCCATTCTGTTTGAATATTAGGGTTGGACAGTCCTCATATTGACAGATGGATTTTTTTTTTAAATGCAAAATTTAAGACCAAAAAATAAACTAATTTCTTCCTCCAAAGTCTTCTGTTTGCTCCAAACCACATGCTTTTACTCACAAAGGATTAGGTGTTGACCTTTCAATTCTGATTTAAGATCTCTTGATTAATTTCCCAGCCCTAATGAGTATGTTAAAAAAATAAATGTTAAGGGGGGCAAATAGATTTCTTTTTGTGACCTGTGCTTAATCCTTAAAACCTGTATGATTGTCTTTGGACAACAGGATGCAGTAAAAACTGTCTGTGTGTTTTTCTTGACCACAGTCCCGCTTGCGGCCTCCTCATTCTCCTTTGACCTGGTTCAAGTGACAGAGCGAGGTGGAGCTGCAGTGGAGTGAACCTTCAGCCCTAAACTCATTCACTCGGCCACCTTTGGAGATATTTCTTTTGTATCAACAAGACCAGCCATCAGACTTCAAAAAACACGGAGAGCAAAGTCACATGCACAGTCACAGCCGTACCAGTAAATTGGTCAAAGTCCCCATAGCTCTCTCTTCCCCTGGGGTAACTGTGGCAGGTCTGTTCCCAGGAAGTGTCTATTCCTTCAGCCTACAGGCCTCTCATCCCTCTGGCTTCAAATGGAACTTGGGACAATCCCGAACAGCGCACACAAGTAAGTCTGAGAAACACTATCATGCACTGGCATCTGTGTGCCACGTCTATACTGCAAAAATGAAATTTGGAGAAGTTACAAATTACATTAAAATTAAATTAATCTTATCAGTATGAGTGCATATACATGCCACAGTATCCCAGTTACAATTGGAATATACAAGCTACAGTATCAGGATACTGCCTTATTCGGGATACTGAAACAGGGATACTGCGTATACATGCACCATGACAAAACCGGGATACTCAAAAACCCGATCATAACCGGGATACTGATGTGCATGTATATGCACTCTATTAGAAGAATCCATAGTTTCCAAAGGATTTGTAAAACAAGTATTTCCAGTAATAACTCTAATATTTCTAACTCTAATAGGAATATTTATGATGACTGATTTTAATGCCATACTGTGGAACTCTCCAGTCAAAGCAATAACCTCCATTGATACATGCAAGTGGTGCCTTAACTAAAAGAGTTACATAGTGCATGTTTACGATTTATTTACTTCAAGATTTGTCTTTAAACAGGTTGTGTGAAAATAAGTGGTTACATCTTCAGCTTTTTTTACTAAATGATTTTGCAATGTTATGAACCAATGAAATGTTCAAACTCCTATATTGTTAGAAAATTACTCAAATCCATAGTAATCTTCTGAAGTCGAGTCATTTTAAGCAAGACTCAATATTAAATTTCATAGTGTAGTCTAATTCTTGTCTTCCTTCTCCTCTTAGGGCCCTTTCCCCCACTAAATGTCACTGTGATGGAGGCTACAGTGGATCAGATACGTGTCCATTGGCTGCTGACAGACGCACACTATGTCTCAGACTGGTCCTTTCTTGTGCACTATACAGACGTACATTTAAAAAAGGAGAGAATAGCTGGAATGGACAATATTTCCAGATCATTTAGGAGCGGCGGACAGCACTCATTCACTGCTGTTATCGGAGGTCTGGTTTCTTACAGGAACTACAGCATTGATGTGTATACAGTCACCAAGTATGGGATCAAGAGCTGTGGGCAGGTTCCACTTCTGGCACATACAGGTAAACTATAATATGCTCAAATGCATGTTAATTCAACCAGTAGAGCCTAGATAGTTTGTTTTTTGTTTGTACACTTTTTATTTAATGTTGAAAATCACATTCTCTTGTCTATAGAAAGAGTGTTTTTTATTATCATTATGGTATCGGAATTGGTATTGAGTATCAAGTCTGCGGTGGTGGAGATGAGGCAAAGGAGCTTTGCAAACCCCAGCTAAAACAAAAGAAAGAACAGAAAAACATCTTAAGGGGAGATTATTTAGAGTCCGTTTGGAATTTCATTTTCATTCATTTCATTTCAAAAAGATGACTGAAACATCTGCAGCATTCTTGGTACAATTTACTCTATCAAATCTTTTTGCATGATGCAGCAGAAGTGGCTTATTAATATTTTCAGATTTTTTGGTGGATCTAAACACTACTAATCTGTGTATATGGTGTTTTAATAGCTTTATTTACTACATTATTAATATAATATTACTATACAACTTTATTGGAAACTAAACAAATTTGGAGCTTTCTGGTAAAAAAAAATAAAATCTAAGTACATGCTGCCTCCAGTGACTTCTGTGATTTCCAGTACTTGGTGACATCACCCTGATTACAGCTAGGTGTTTCTGATTATTAACACCTTATATCTTACACCCTCAAATCCAGCCCCTCCTCCTTGCTCACTCTTTTCTTTAGTCCAAAAGTACTACCTAGTTTCGCCGCTCAATTTGAAATGCAGATATGGGCAGAGTTTAGGTGTTAAGTCCCATGTTAATAATAGTAACCGACGACCCTCAAGGTACACAAAGTTCTCTTCTTTCATTTAATGTTATGATCCACCACTTAAGAGCTATGGTTTACTTGCATCAAGGAAAGACTGAACTTTGTCCCTGCTGAGTGCATTTTTCTATAATAATATTAATGTCATATTTAATCTCTGATAGCTAACTTGACACTTTGTTTTTCAGCGATAAGAGCACCACGTGGGCTGGTAGCAGAGAGTTCAGCAGAAAACTTGACTGTGTGCTGGACGACTGAGCATGCAGACCTTCCAGACACATACAAAGTCACAACCCTCTCACTCCATGATACAAAGGTTACATCTAAACTGGTGCATCCTGGGACCCCTGAAGCATTCCCGGATGAGTCACTTTGTGTTTCTTTGGGTCCTTTTATTCCTGGACAAACTTACAACATAGGAGTGATGGCTTTTAAAGGGAATGACAGAAGCCAAGAGACCAGTATATTACACACTGCAAGTATGACAAATATAATATGTAAATTAATACAACTATCATTAATGTATTTTAACCCTAACCCTAAAGGTGCACTAAGTAACTTTTTCTGAATTTAGTGTTTTTGTTATTCCAGTAGTTAATACATCATTGAATAAATGCAACAAAAGATTAAAAATAAATAAATAAAATAAAATAAATAAATAATAATAAAATAATAACATTCTGGGCAACATTCCAAGCAAAGCAATGGCATCTTCGTGGATACAAGCAGATGGTGGATCATCTACCAGAAAAGTTAATTAGTGCATCTTTAATGGTCTTATATTATGGTAAATTAATTTTGCTGAGCCTTTAACTGTGTTGTAAAGTCTAAGTTGATCAGATAGCTTTCACTATTATGCTATCATGCCTTCTTTTTACTTACCAATTCGGGACTAGCAGCTACTGTTTGTAGTCTTATTTAAATTGCTTCATGCCCCTGCTGACAAAAGAGGGTGCAGGAACTAACTGACATTTAAATGTCAATTAAATCAGAGATTTATAACTTTTGCATCCATATTGTTTTAGGTTAAACTAAACCTAACTACCAAAAGAAATAAAAAAAGTCAGACTGGACTATAACATATCACATTTTTAAATGATGTTGTTTTTCTTTTAGAGCCAATGTCAGTCCAGGTCGCTGTTCCTCTCTCAGTTGGCACCACAAGTGTCCAGCTCTATGTCCAGCCTCCACAAGTCGGTTTGATGGATGGGGTCAAAGTTTGTGGTTGTCCAAAACTCTGTGACCCCACCTGTGAGGACTTTATTTGTGGCTATAACTGTGACTGGTATGCTGTCCACGCTGACATCCATACTGTTACGATTAGCAACCTTAGCCCGGGCTCACAACTGCAATTCAAGGTGTACAGCACAAGCAGAAATCAAACTGGACCACCTTTCTTCACCAAGCAAATTAGAACAAGTGAGTTAGCTGTTGTATAGTTAGTTGTATCTAAACACATTGTTAAAGAGGGATATTGGAAATTGTGAAGAGGAGGAGATGGAGAAGCTGAGGAATTCTGCTGCTTCACTGGGTATGAGGCAGAGGAGGCTGTAGCTGAAATGACTGTAACAATGAAGGAAGAGGGAGTGTTATTATATTAATGGATTGAGATGTGATTGATCGAGAGGCAGTGATAGCAAGCCATGATTGGTTGACAGTAATACATTAGATTTGATAGCAGCAGAGGTGGGTAGTACTCAGTTACATTTACTTGAGTAACTTTTTTTATGTACTTTTCATGCAGCATACTTACCTTGCCTTACCTACATAGTTACTTCTACCCAAGGAGTATATTTTAATTGAAGTAACAGAACTCTTACAGTATGTTAGTGTTCACAGTATGAAATTATTTGAACATTTGTATTTCTTGCAATACTCCTTCAGATATGATTTAGTTTTCTCATTTTTGTGGTCTATCCTTTGTGCATCTTAAATTATAAATCAGATGGCACGCTCCAAAGGTTCAGTTGCTCTTTAAATTACCCTTGAGTAGTAGTTTTCCCAAATCTGTTTTTTCTCTTACTTGAGTGAGTACTTTGTACTACTTATTTACAGAATAAATATTATTTAGAAGTAACATTACTCTTACTTGAGTAAAAATTTTGGATACTCTACCCATCTTTGGACAGGAGGAAATTTACACTTAAAAGTATGAAATGGTATTATAGCATTTAACATTTTTCTTCACAGATTGCAAATATATTTTAAGATTTGACTTTTCTCCCTACTAAATTTCTTGCTATCATGCAGGACTCTATCTGACCTCGACAGCTAACAAGTATTCACTGTAAAACTCAAGGGTTAAAAAGAATTCAGGCTCCTGTTAATTAGTGCAGGGTGAGCATGAGTGTAAAGCAGTAATTACAGCACTAACGCGTGTGATCTGGTTTCTAATTGTAGGTCTCACTCCTCCTAGCAGGCTAAGGGAGGGAGTGGTCACCCATTCAACTATAGAACTGCTTTGGGACCCTGCTCTGGGGCATGCCGACAGCTACGAAGTCATCTGTTACAACTGTGAACACACACATATGGTAAAAGGTTTTGTCTCTAATGTCTAACTCTTGACATTATTTCAACTAGTAGCTTGGTTTAAACATTATGTTTCATATGGTGCATTTTTTTGCCACTACCTTTTCCATCCCAATAAGTTGAGTTGTTCATGGATTTTAAATTGATGGCAAATTTAATGATACTCATACAGGCATTTTTATATATTTTTTTATTTCTTTAGTATTACTTATTGGTTCTCATTATCTTCAAAAAATTAAAAATAAAAAAGCTTAGAGAAAAGCATTTAAATAAAAAAACTTTATAAAATCATGCATCCTTACTGCGAGCAAGCTTGTATCTCCAAAAACCTGACTTATTTGTCCTGGAGTAAAGCCTCCTTCTGCTTGTTTCCATGGAAATGTTGGTCATTTGGCTATAATCTTCCACAATATGGCATAAAGCTTATCGTTCTGAAGTATGGTTTACTTTCTTGTTCTATGGCATTTTGCTGATGAAGTGCCATCTCCAGAAAGTTACATACAATACCTTTAAGACTACATTAATCTTGTCTTGTCTTGCCCGCATTCTCAACAACAGTATGCACTATTAACTAGTCTGAGCTTGACCAAAATATAAACTATACTGACAAAAAATAATATCTTGATAACAAATCAATATATAAATAAATTATCTACCCGCCCCACTCAAACCTTCAAGCTTGGGTTTGCGGGCACCCGCTCTAACCACTTAGCCACTGCTGCCCCTAAATTAGTCTACAACATATCCACGGCAACATTCCCAAAACTTCTTTATACATCTGAAACAGTATTCCATTAAAAGGTGCTGCATTGCCTTGAGCAGGTGACCAATTTAATGTTGCTTCAGGCAGTGTGCATATATCCACGATGTACTGCAGTGAAACCTTACATGCCCCTCCAGCCTTTGCGATAATGATTTAGGTTTGATTATTTTTTTCTCTGTAAAGGTGCAGAAAGTCTCTGGTCAAAGCGCTATGTACTCCTCCCTGACTCCTGGAACGCTGTATCAGTTTGCAGTGCGTACGGAAAAGCGTTTCTTCCCAGACTCCTATCCTATCAACATAAACATCACTGCAGGTAGACTCACATATTTTTATTCCGCTTTCAGCAGTTACACTAATTGTTTTTCACACACCAGCTCCCAACCCCGTAGAGCTGTCCATTGCCAATAAAACCACATCATCTATATGCATTAGTTGGACTGCAGGCCGAGGAGTTGTGAGCGGCTTTCTACTGTCAATCAAAAACGTAACAGCCAAACAAGCGGCAATCAATATGCATCCAGAGCACAGGTCATTTTGCGGCAAGCAGTATACCATGTGAATGATGAGGAGCATAGCTTTTATCCTCCAAACCTGTCTTGTATTTACAGATGGTACTGTTTCCGAGGGCTCACTCCAGGAAGCAGATATACTATTGAAGTGATGAGCCTCAGTGGAGAGAGGAGAGGTCAAGCTGCTGTTATTACGCTCCATACCAGTGAGTCTGAGTAAATAAATGCGTGTGGAAAAAATTTTGGTTATGTACATTATCTGACTAAATAATTTTTTTGCTACTAAACTGTGTATGTGGTGTTCTAATAGCATTATCTACTATTACTAGTCTCTTTTTGGCAACTTTAGTGCAAACTAGGTAAATTGACTTTTCAGGTTTACCTAGTTTTGTCTCTGCAAACACCTGGCTGTAGAAGTGGAGTTTGTGTGGCTTCCTGTAAGACCAATCACGCTATTTCTTATACAGCAAGAATGCAGGGTTTTCAAGGATTTTTGTGAAAAAATACTGTACATTGAATAAATGCTAGCTAGTTAAGTTTAATTGCATACAATGGAATGTAAACATATCTATGAGACACACATGTGACAGACCACCAGAAAAAGAACCTATAAAAATAATAGCTTCAGCAACTGTGATTCAAATGTGCAAGAGTTAATACAACCAGAACAGATTAAGCACATATTCTAAGAGGTCTCACACGCACACACTCACACACACACATATGACAACCACTAGGAGGAGCATAGTCTAGTCCCACTCCCCCTGTGTGGGTGTCTGTGATGTGTGCTCACTGACTCTGTCTGCAGCCCCACAGATGCCTCAGGACGTGACTCTGTCCGAGCAGGGGGTCACATCCGTCTTTGTTGCCTGGAGACCACCAGCTGGACTCGTGGATGGGTACAAGGTATCAGGAAACCAAAATATTTGCACTGTGCAGAATGAGCAGGCAGGCAGAAGAGAACACACCTCACAATATGGATTCAGAATTGGACTGAAAATGCTTTTTTGTGGGGCTGCTTACGTCAGGCCCTGTGCTTAGTTCTTGGTTTCTAAGCAGCAGCTGACAGCACACTGCAGCTTCAGTTACCACCCTTTTAAAGATGTATGACCTGTGCCTGAGCCATGACCAGGAAGCATGAGCCAGCAGTACACTCACAGTGACAAAGACAAACAAACATTTATTCTCTATTGTTTTGTTCCAGGTGTGCTTTGGACTGCACTTTGTCAACACAACATTCTGGGACCATGCTTATGTTCAAAGCCCAAGTTATGAGATCAGTCACTTAACCCCGGGCTCAGAGTATGGACTCAGCATTCAGAGTGTTCTAGGCTCTGACCTCAGTTCAGCTGTGCACAGGCACTTCAGCACACGTAAGAAAGAAGGTCCTACTTCAAACCTGTCAAACTATCAAGTAAAAGCACATCAAATCTGTTTTAGGCCCAGCGGGAGTGTGTGGTCTCCATTTGAACTACATCAACTCCTCATCTGTCTCTATTCGCTGGGACAATGCAGCTGGTGTCTTTGACTTCCACAGAGTGACCATGGCCAACATCTCTGTCACAAGCACATGGAGCATACGAAAGGAGGAGCGTGTCGCCATGGTTGCAGGCCTTCAAGATGGCTGCACTTACAACTTGAGTGTTGAAAGAGTGAGAGGAGCACATGTGGGGAGAGCAGCCTCTCTGACAGTAAGCACAGGTAGTTACAGCAGCAAAGGTCAGACAGACTATTGGTAGCTTTAACTTTATAGAATGTGATGTCTCAGATGGAGGGCATGGGACAAGATGATTCTGTGCTGAGGGACTATTCTGAAACACGTTGAATGTTGAACCTGAACATTGTTATTTATGCTCTGTCTACCACTCTTTTTGACCTGGTACTTTTCATTTAAGAGGTAGTATTATGCATTGATGAAAAATCAATTTTGAGCTTTCTATCATGTTTTAACATTCCTTCATCAAAAATATCCCCCAGGAGGTCTTAGATGTCATCCATGCATGTTTCAGTAATTTAGTGATCCCTCCCAGGCCATATTTGAACCCTCTTTATATGTAAGATTCTGTCCAATTCTCGGTCCACAAGCCTATGTCAACAATGCTCCCAAATGACAATTCTCCATAAATAACTATACAAAAGCATGATACAAAACTGTTCACAACAACTTGACAAACCTGATGTAATGTACTGTCGTTTCATTAGTAAGTTGCACGCTGATTGTACTGTGAGAGCATTTTCTAGTGTGAGTGAAGGGAGGAGGTGCTCAGAGCATCAAAATTGAAAGTGAAACTTTCAATATTAATAAGCTTTTGGAGAATATATCTTTTTCAAAGCATTAAAAGATAACATGGTGAGCTAAATAGATGTAAAAAACCTAACCAAAACCAAAAACCAAAAGCCTATTTTTATTTCTATTCTAATAGGCCCACCTTAACTTTCTTAAGGAAACCTAGAGTTTGAATCCTTAAAAGCTAATTCTAAAATATCCTGATGTGCCCTGCAGCTCAGTTTTAACCTATAGACACTATGTTTTGACAGCACATGAACCCAGCCTGCTCTATATACTCTTACATACTGTCTTCTCTCTGCTTGTCCTGAGTGCCAGCCCCAGTGAGGGAAGTGCGTGTCCAAAATGTGTCCTCCCACGCCTTCTCATTACTCTGGCCTGAAGCAAAGGGCTGTGTGGATCATTATCAAGTGACCTTACGACCGAATGAGGGCAAAGTCACAGTGCACCCAGCCCAGAATGGATACATACAGGTACATAAATCCACACCTCTGCATACATTCCACCAGTATTCTTAATTGTTTTCTTGTTGTCTGTTGCAAGACACTGCAAAAATAATTATCTACAATATTGTTACACAAATGAGAAAGAAAACATTATTTGGAGGCCTACCAGGTGAACACTTTCTTGTCCAATGGGGATGTTTTACTTTGCCTAAAATGTCCCACAGTATAGCATTAACATTGTTTATCTTTAATAAAACCTGTTTTATAGCTACAAAAATCATATTTTCTTACTGGGAAAGACATATTTTCTTACTGGGAGTTTGCAATCTTCTCCACAGATTTGACAGGTAACTTAGCCTGGTAGCATCACCTGTTTGTCTCCATGGTGATAGATCATTTTAATGCCATAGTGTGGAACTACAATAAGTAAAGGTCCAAATGAAATGTCTTACTACTACCCAAACTTTGGGTATGTTTAAGATAAGCCCTGCCCCCTCAGCATCTCTTCCTGAATAGCAGGTGTCACTTACCTCTAGCTGAAACCCTACACAGACACTGCACACAGTGGAGTAATAGATCTCATTCATTATTAAGTTTGCCTCATGAGCTCAACTCTGAATCATTCATTGACTTAAGCACCTCTCCCAGTAGAGCTGCAGAGACCAGAGGGAGCAAGTTAGCCTTATGCTAATGACAATAGTGTTTGGCATCTATGGATAACCATTTCCTTTACTGAATACAGCAGGATTATTATTCAATGCTGACATAACATAACTGGCTCTTGGATCTACTTTTTACCACTTCAAATTGGCTCTTTGTTACTGCCCTGGACTAAAACAACAGCTGATGTTGGGAGGCTGACAGTGGACATTACTCCACTGAGGAGGCCTCTGCTTGTTAGCCGTCCTCCATACTAAGTGTACTCCCTAGCATGGCCTTTCTGTCCGTGCTTTTCATATTCTGCTTTGGACACTCACAGGTAAGAATATTCAGTAAGGCTTCTCAAACTGTGGCATAGGTACTACCAGTGACACACAGTCTTTTCTTGGTTTTCTTTTCTTTTTGCAGTTAAAGGGGGCATGTTTGAGTAAACTTGTATTGCTCTGCATTCAAGGCTTGGATGGTCACAGAATTTCATTTTACACCTACCCCTATCTCTGCCCACTTTTCTGTACTTACTTGTCATTTTTCCCAAATTAACCCCACGGGTTAGATTAATATTTGCTGTTTGTTACATTTTCTTTTATGACAATACGTGAAAAAATGCTTGTGAAATGTTTGCGTTTGAAATATATGTTGGAATACAACAATTTTTCGCATTTCAAAATGTCTTTACTTTAGTAAACAGATTGCTACCCATTTCAGAACAGCAATGACAAATGTACAGTGTGGTTGTAATGACAATATTATACAGTTTCAAATAGCAAAGGGCGATAGCATGGGCGGTGAGATGCATATGGTGCATTGCTGCTGATACACTTTCAGAGATATAGAAATGGCTTGGTCATATTTCTGAGCGATAACATAAAGTATGAGTCTGACAGCAGCGGGAAGCAGCTGCAGTATAACAGTACAAATGCTGTTTAGAGGCAGCAGAGCAAAACGCAGAGGGCACCTAAAAACACTGGTCATCAGTCTAATTCCATATGAAAGGTGTGAATATGCAGAGACAAACTGGAACAAGCCAGCTCTCCCATAAACAGCTACATTCAGCCTCACAAGATTTTATGGTGTTGAAGAAATCCCCTATCTCATATAAGAAGGTTCCCAATGTTTCAAAATATCATTTTTATTTGGCCATCATACCTGTCAATGTTTCACAAGTCAAATGAAACAGAAAACTCACACCAAAGTTCTTGTAGAGGTGCAAATGCAAGGAACAGCAACATATATATAAAGTGAAAAAATACATAGCACACTCATATGCCCGATGTCCATTTTTAAATAATGTTTCAGCAAAAAGCAGGTTTTGTAAAATGATAATTTACATTACTGCATACCCTTCTTTAATAGTAAATGATCATTGTATCTCTTTACCCTGACATCTAATAACCTAACCTAATAACAAGCTAATAATATTGGAAAGGGTACCTTAGCTTGGATAAACTGAACATTATTTGTGCATTTTCAGTGACATCAAAAAGTTCTGCATTGAAGTATATGTGCAACAATGATTATTTTTAGATGGCGTCACATTATGCATTACGGTTGTGAGTTTGATGCATGTTTGTGTCCTCAGGCTCATGTGGTGAGTGTGACCCCCTCCACAGAGTACAATGTAACTGTCTCAGTAGCAGCCTCCTCCCACATCAGCCCTGGAGTCAGCCGCATGATCAGCACCAGGAACAGCGGTGAGACCCTCCACAATCCTATACCATCTAATCTGTAGCACACACATCTTCTTCTCTCTATTAGCACATGTATGCTCTAGTAGGCCTGGTGACATATCAAGTGGAATACCAAAACCAATGCATGACAAAAATGTATTTGATCATATTTTTCCATCAAAAATATGATGGGTTGTTGAATATGCTAAAACTGTTCAAGTGTCACACAGAAATTGAATTTACTGTAAAAAGGTTTTGTTTTGAAAGACACTGTACTCTACATTCTATCTAAACAAAACAATCAATATCATATTGTATATCAGTCTTTCTCAAACTATGGTATGCAAGCTCCTTCAGTTTGTATTTGGGCAGGTCTTTAATGTGTGGGTTTGCCACAGAGTCCACTTTAGAGTCCACTTTTTTGGTTAGATCTAGATTAGACCTGAAATTGTAATATTATTATCCACTTGATTTAAATCTGGTGTTACTAAGAAATTGGGATCTTTTTTTGGTGGTACTTGGTGTGAAAAGTTTGAGAGCCACTGTTGTAGATCATATGTCACTCAGATCTAATCATAAAATATCTGACATTATTTTATCAGCAGACTTCCAAAACCTTTCCAAAACCTGTAACACGAGTCTGTAGACTGCAGCCAGACTAGTAAAATCCTTCTTTCTGAGGTTAATACTGCCATCAGTTCAAAGAGCTGAGACATCACCAGTCAAAGCAGGGGGAGGGTTGTCAAGGAGCTGTGGTAAACTGTTAGAAAAGACTTTTGTGTGAATGTTATCTTCAGTGTGAGTTTTCAGAAATCACTTCTGTTTTCTATGATCCAGCATTCCCCAACAAAAAATCTCTATTATCTTTGGCTAGCTGGAGATGGCTACAGGTTTAGTGCTTATCATTTAGAATCCTCTAATCTCATGTTCTAAATTCCGTACGGCTGTGGATTTGGGTGCTCTCTTGTGTATTTGGTTTATCTGTTGTAACTTTAGCCCAGGCTTTTGAAGCAAACCGTGAATAAGCCTGAAGTGAATGTCACTGAAATGTCAGTGCTATGTAAGGGCTCATTCATCCGAGTTCAACCCAAAACACTCCTGCACTCGTTAAGCACAGGCCTCACAGTTCTTCTTCAAATTACTTCTTATTTTTGGTTCCTCTAGTGCCCTCTACCCCTTTTGGCCTCGAGGGTCACACTTCGGGTACCAATGGAATCTTGCTGTCCTGGACAATGGCAGATGCAAAATACTCAGAATTTATTATCAGGTATTATTTAATTTTAATCATTTAAATGTGCACAATGTAATGTTTAAGCTTAGGGTCCACCATCATCTTGTCTACATGGAGAGTTATTGTGTTGTCTGAAATGCTCCAAAAATTCTCCACAAATTCTTGTGAACTTTAAGCTATATTAAAAAGTCATTACAGAGCTGTGTTTTGTTTCATTCACACATCTTTGAGTAGACACCTATTATTAGTCTATCTACATCTCCGAAGCTCAAAATGCTCTGTTCCACCTTGTGATGTCATGTAGTGGTAGTTTTCAAGTTAAAGCTACCTTTTACCTTTAGTTCAGTAGAGACTCGTATTTCCAGGGCTGAAATTGTCCAAATAATTCTAGTGAAGGTGTATGGGGTTTGAAAACACTGGAGCACTTCCTGGATTACCTCACTAACATCAAAAGGTAGAACAGGGTGTTTGAGAGAAGAACTCAGTCTAAATATGGATCTGCTGGGATGTTATTGATAAGGAAACAACACTATAACATACATCAGAAAAATTGTCTAATATAAGTCCTGAAATAGATGCATAGATAGAAAATAGATGCATTTAGCATCTATTTTCTATTTAATCAATATGTGTTTTAATTACTTATAGATATAATTCCTCTAAAGAGAACTGTGCTTTATACAATCATTGGAATCAGCTCCCTAGCTAAGCACGTAGAATGGAAGTAAAACATTTACATTACAGTTACTACAGATGGCCAAATTTTTTATCCAACCATTATTCTTATCGCTGTAAGTTTTTAAATCATTGTTATGAAATGCAAATGGAGCACATTTCTATTGTGTAGTAGGTAAGAGGATGCCAGGAAATCTAGCTGCCATTAAACTGGCAGCTAATGGGGATCCTAATAAGACTATTAAATAATAAAACTTGAAATAATAAGAATGCCTTAAAATTGTGCCTTATTACCATAGGCATTCTCACCTCTTCACAAATCTAACTTGTATCTTGGCCTGGTGGGGTGATTATATTGTGGTACATTCCAGGCAAAGCAATAACATAATCATGGAGACAAGCAGGCAGAGGGTCCTCCAGCATAAAAGTTACATAATACACCTGTTTTGGAATAATCTAAAATGGCCTTTTCCGGCAGGTACAGGGAGGTGTGTCCTTACCCTGCCACTGACTTCACAGAGGAAACTATGTTGCTTGATTCTCCTGTCGTCCTGCTAACTGAGCTAATCTCCGGCTCAACATACCAGTTTCAGGTACAAACAATTCTTTTATTTATTATAAAATGGCCTTCTCACTCAAATCCTGCTGAGCTATTGTCTGGATTTGGCAGAATGTGGGTAATTGATCCAGATTGCATTATTAAGCAGGTAAAGGGATCTATGGATAAAGCAGGGTTCTTTCCACTGTCTGTTGTCACTGGGCTCCAACGTGATCACGCTTATTAGTTTTCAGAATGCATTAACCCATCCTGACCTTCATGCTCAGGCCAACTATCAAACATGCACTTTGTTTGTTAAGAGTGATGTGTGCAGGGTTCATATTACTATTGTGTTATTTTTTTTAGAAAGGATTATGTGATCATGTGTGTGACTATGTATGTTTGAACAACAACTGTTTTTTTTAGTTCAACTGCATTCAGAGAGTTGTAACCTGTATATTTTAATTGATCTGACCAAGAAGGTAATTGCATACAGCACATTAGTGATAAAAGGATTATTCTCTTTGGACACCTTGGCATTGATACTTGCCAAAGGGTCCTTCGCTGATGCACTGAGGAGTGAAGTAGAGGCATAAAACAAGAGCTGCTAGCTTCAGAGTTGAGATGTATTAAGACAAATTGAGCAGTGAAGGGATCCTTCGAATCTGATGAAGGTCAATAAACTTTAAAGGGGACATATCATGTGAAAGGGACTTTTATGAGCTTTTAACCATGTTATAAGGGTGTCTCCTTATCTTTGTCTTACTCAGATTTGAGATTCAAATGATTAATGCATCTTTGATTTAAGCCTCTTCTTTAAAAACACAGGAGCACTTGCTGGTTTGTCACTTCTTGTTCTTTCAAGGTGGTTGAGAGTGTTTGGCTCTGGAGAGGTTAACTTACAGTTTTCTCCGTTGATTTGGCTCATTTCTTGAAACAGAAATTACATTCTTAAAAGTAGAAGATGATTTTAAGAAGTTTGACATCACACACACTGCTCTCACACTGCCAACGAAACTGTAACCATTTTATTCACAGTTTCACACACATAAAGTCACTTCCATACATCAGAGTACATAAAAAGAGAATGTATACCGTATTCTGTACATGTACAAAATATAAACACAAACAAAAGGAGAGTACGGTGATAGTAGCTCCATGAGCATCATTGGATGGGGAGTGAACCATGAGCACAATCACACAGTGTGATAGGAAGTTCTCATTTAATCTGACTGTCAATTACTGTCATGAATTTATCAAATAAAATTCATATATGGTGTTCATGGTATCATGTTCCTGACTAATTTTGACAATTGAACAGTCTATTGTGCATATGATGACTTAGACAATGAAATCATGCTGACATGTTTTGGAGAGAACAACCATCAGACTGAGAATCAACTAATCAGCTTAGATCAGCAAGATCAATTTATTTGGAAAATGTGCCAAATGTGTACTCATTGTGCTAACTGTAGGCGACTTGTACAGAACCATTTGCAAAGATGCCCTGAGACACTTGAGACATGTACTAAGAAATTAGCAATTTGATGAAATCAATGAGAAATGCCTTTTTGTTGTTAACGATTGCAAGGTGGTTTGGAGATTTGTTCATGTTGTTTAGAGAATGTCATTTCTGTTTCAAGAAATGAGCCAAACCAATGGAGAAAAACTGTAATATGAACATGGATTAAAATAACAAAACAAAACTCAGAATATGTTTTTCATGATGAAATGAATTGATGAATATTATAACATGCTAGAAAAAAATTGTATAATAATGAAACCTAATGAACATGTTAACATGTAAATGGAATGTAGACTAAATCTCACAAAACACATGCATTTGTACTCCAGTGTGTGAATGAGGCATGGTTAGTGAAGTGTCTTGTTCAAGGACACGGCGGCAATGGTAGAATTGTCAACCTTTGAGTTTGTATGCAAATGCCTTACCACTGAGCCCCGCACAGTCAGCTGCAGTTTACTGTACATAAAATAAACTAAAAGATGAACATGTGAAATATAATTTATTCTCTGTCTTTTATGTTACCATCATTTGAAATAAGACAATTCTGTTTTCTTTCCAGGTAGCAGCTGTTTCTTCTGGTATTCCAGGAGCTTTCAGCAAATCGTTGTACATAAAAACAGCTGAGTCCCGTGAGTGCACATTATTGTAATAAAGAACAACACAGTGCTGTTTACTCATGTGTGTATGTGTTTGTGCTCTGTACAGCTCCTGGACATGTGACAAACCTGACTGCATTTGCACAGAACCACTCCTATGTGGTGGTCACCTGGTATCTGCCCCAGCGCATCAATGGTCTCATCACAAAGTTCAGTGTCAATGTCAAACACGCCCGAAATGGAATGGTGGTCCGCAGGCTCAACGTCAATGCAGAGGAGATCATGAGTATCTCACTGCCACACTGCAATGTAAGACTTTTAGTTTGTCCTTTTTAATCACTGAAACATATTTGTGTAAAATCTATGTTGAGAAGTAACATTACAGTTACTTTATAGGAAAGTCCTTTTCACAATAAATCACAGATTTTTATGATTTCTACACAGTCCCAGTGTGATTTTGACCATTGGCCTTGAGTGCTCTCCACAGTCTCTCATTTGGATTCTAGTGGGGATAGTGGCTGTGCCTCTCCAGAATGATGACCCTCTGTGTGATAAACGTTTCCTGACCACTTTGGACATGTTGTGTCGATCATTGTCAGGCTCCAAGATCCAATCTTTCTCAACAAGCAGCGTTTTCAGCAGTCTGTCTGATCTTCAGTGATACGTTAACTGTCTTTGACTGAAAACAGGGTTACACTTTTGGGATGGTGTTTTGGCGATGAAGACTCCCCCTTTTCTTTGCTGCTCAAGTGCAAACTCTGCATTTAGTTATTTTCCATCTCCTCTGAATAGAGAAACAAAGGTTTCTGGTCACCAACTAATGTTAGTGTCATTGCAAAAAAAATCTGACTGTTGTGGTGAACCATGTCCATTTCTTTAACACTAAATGCTGCAGAACAGTTTACATAAATGATCTTAAAGATACCTCAGTAATACTAGACTTGTCACATACCTGCTTCTAGATTTATGACCCTTGCTCCTCTATCTATTCTCACTTCCCAGGATGCTGCAGAAATCCTGTCACGGGCCACTGTGAGTCCTCTGGAGATGACCGCCTCGTCTCCACCCATCACCCTCTCAGCAGTGCCACCGGCCGCTCTGTGGAAAGTACCCATATCTGTGGGAGTGGATCAGCTCCGACCATTCACTCCTTATCTGTTTGAAGTGTCCGCCTTCACATCTGAGGGAGAGGGCAAAACCGGCTCTGTTATGGTCCACATGCCAGAATCAGGTGTGTGCTAATGTGTTGAATTCATAACATTTACATAAGATCTATCAAGTATTATTATTATTATACTTCCCTTCCATCTAGGGGTACTCAGTTACGGATAAAGACTAATAATAGTTATGTGACATTGAAATCATCATCATCATGACAACAAACCAGTACACTTATTCATGAACTGTCAAATGTTGACTTGTTACCATTTTTAGAAGTGTTTTAAAAGCCTCTGCAGATTAGACATTTGGTTGGGCTCCAGGTTTTGAGGGGCAGAATGGACAGTTGTATCAGTCTGAACTGAATTTAATTGTTTGTTTTTCATTTTTGTAATTAAATGATTTCAGTAAATGTAATTATTATTCAAATTTGATTAGTTCAATTCAATGCATTTTTGTGTAGCCCAAAATCACAGCAGCAGTCGCCTCACAGAGCTTCACAAAATGGTTCATTTAATCAGCAGAAAGTTCAAAAATCAATCAGATCCATGCAAGATTGGACAACATTCAAATAGTTGCCTTGCAGAGATTTTTACATAATCATACAACATATTTTTGAAGTAAGTAAGTTAAAGTATAACACTGGTAATTTGTTCTGATACAGCTCCTGAGGACTCGCCACAGAACCTGACCTTACTGAATATGACCTCCAGGTTCATTGTGTTGTCCTGGATTTCTCCCAGAATTGTGACAGGAAAATTCAGCTATGTCCTGCAGCTTCGCGGGCCTACAGGTAAGGCTGGCTTTAAGATGAAGTCTATTCAGTTATTCTAAGCTTGTAGTGGTTGATGGAGATTAAGGGAAGTGACTAAAAGTGAATATGCATATTTTCTTAAATGGATAGGTTTGACAATGAACCTTCACAGTAACAAATCATTATAGTACAATATTTGTGGGTTTTTCTTATGGAACTTAAGAAAATACCATATTGTTATATATCAGATATTTATACTGGTTTGTGCGTTGTTCCTTCTTTCTGTATAGGTTATTTCTTGAATGGAAGCACTTTTGACACAAGCTTTGAGTTCAAAGGTCTGACGCCGTACACCAGGTATACTGTGGTTGTTCGAGCCAAATCAGCAGGAGAATTGGGTCCAGCAGCAGAGAGGCGTGTGGTCACAGCGGCTGAAGGTACAGACTATGTATACAAGCTGTTCAACCCGGAGAAAATTAAACTGACAAAACCAGTGAGGTGCAATGAAAAGTTTATGGAATGGATACATATATCTACCATGACCTAGACACTGCTGATGAAAAGGAAGAGATGGAAAGGCTGAGGGTGCAGTTGGAGTGGAGACAGTGAGCTAAAATAGTTGAAAGAAGATCGAGGGGAGAGTGACTGCATGTATATGAATTTTCTGAGATGGGAACAGTTCTGCAAGAAAAATCACATTGACACTGACAGTAATATCTGAAAGAGAAACCAGAAGGAAATCAAGTTGAATTTATAAGTCTGTCCTTCATTTGTAACTGTGTTTAACTGTAACTTTGCTCAGCCCCCAGTGCTGTACAGGCCCTGACAGCAGAAGCAGAGGACTCCCTGTCCATCAGAGTGAACTGGAGGAGCCCTGCTCAGCCTAATGGCCCCATCATTCAGTACAGACTGCAGGTCCTGGTGCAGGGGACACTGCTACAGGACATCACCCTCACAGCTCCTCGGGTATGGCATTCTGTGAACATATGTGAACAACTTATATATTCACTATTCCAATGACCTATTGGTATCTTTTGCAAGTTAGTTTGAACTGTTATTAATTTATGGTGGCTTCAACTTCATTCGACTTTTATTTCTCATTTCAAGCTAAATTATCTGCCAGTGGAGACATTTTCTTTCTCATTTGCACTAAGTTACTTTACTAGTGCAGGGTCAGCCAGTTGCTTGTCACTATGTAATTGGAGTTTGTGGAATTGCATTTAACTTCCCTATCTAGGATTTTTTTCCACACGTGTTTATTCAAACTAAAAAATAACTTGAAAACGTGCATTCTTATTGTGAGTGGAGTTTCCTTTACACAGATCTAACCTTTTAAGTGCCTTGTTCCATGACCTATTTGTCTCCATGGTGACAGATACATTTACCGTAATGCCAAACTCTGGAGCATTCTAAGCTAAGCAAAAACATCTCTATGAAGACAAGCAAGTGGCAGATCTCCACCAGAAAAGTTACATAGTGAACCTTTATTATTTAATCATAATATATCAAGTTAATACATCAAGTTTTTGCAGCATAGCAGCACAGATCATTTGTCATTCAGAAACAACTGAAATATTGTGATTGTGTGCAGAATGAGACCACAACTGGCCTATATGAGGAGGAGACATTTACCGCCAGCCCTAGAAGGAGTAAGAGAAGCGCAGACTTTATCACATCCCCTGCCTCCTTCACTCCTTCAGTTTCCAAACGTTCCTCTGACTCCCTTGCTCTCGGCATAACCAATGACCCTCACGTCACTTCTGAACCCACGCTGAGCGACCACACCAGCCTGACTTACACAGCCACTGAAGAGTTTTATAGCATGGCTTTAGACAGCACAGATAGCCCTGCCTCTCACAGCCCCACCCAAGCTTACTCTGTCACCTCTGCCCCTCCTGTGACACACCCACCTTGGCTCACGCGGCAGTCCAGAACAGATATGACCTCTGAGTCTATGACCACGGCTTATCACTCTGTAAGCACTCGCGATACTTCAGTGACTGGGCGCTACACAGCTTACACTACAGGCTCTGGCATCACAGGTAACATTTAATTTCTGTCCCATTCTCTTTGAATGGATGTGTGAAGTGTACTTTGAAATTTAAAGCATGTAACTATGTAACTTTTCTGGTGGATGGGTCACCTGCTTGTCTCCATAGAGGTTATTATTTTGCATGAAATGTTCAACAAAAGTACATTGAACTTACCTACTTTGGCTATTTAGTTATTGCTAAAAATACCTTGAAAAATATGCATCCTACTATAAACCAGGCCACCTCTCCAAAAATCTGCCCTGTAACTGGGTCTAGTATTGTGTAGGGAAGATTAATAATACCTGATTGTGGAAGTTTCCAGGCAAATCAGTAGCATCTCCATGGAGAAAATCAGTATTGGGGACCCTCCACCAGAAGTTGCCCATTAACAGTGTGGTGCTGTTATGCTGCTAATATCACAGTATAATATATCAATATTTTGGGAGACTCATTATGTTATAGAAATCATACATTAACTAAATATGCCCCAATGAGCCTTTAGTCTAAGTTCTTGCCTGGAATGGTCCACAGTATGGGATTAAATGTATGTGTATGTAATTCCATGGAAACGAGCAGGTGATACTCTCAGGCCAAGTTACTGTTTAGTGTGGACAGGCTAACCCTTTCATAGTTTTTCAAGGTATTATTTTAGCAAAACACATGTAATTTAGTGACAGATACATTTTAATCTCATACAGTTGAAAATTCCAGATAAAGCTTTGTCATCTCCGAAAATTAAGACCACCAGAAAAGTGACATCCTTGTACTATTTGTATCAGTAGTAGTGTTGTCACGATACTGAAATTTCAAATTTCAAAGGAATAGACTTGATAATGAATACTGATTCCGATACCACAATGATAATTAAAAACATCATATGACCCCATATCTGTGTAATCCCTCAGTCATCCATGTTATAGTGATCCATGGGCTCTTTTCTGTTCTGTGAGTGTGACTTTTTAGTATTGATAGCTACTCAAGTAAGTATCTAGTTTTGGTGCCAGGTTTAATATTGATTAGTATCAGATTTTTTTGACAACCCTGATCAGTATTTGCTTTATGTTGCCTGAGGAAAGGAAGGACTGTGGTCTATCTGTGTAACTCCTTTGGGACTGATTTATAGCTGCAACAAATCAATGCATTTTATAAAGTTCTCCATTTAATCTGTTATGTAATGCCATATTGCTATTTTGAAATTAGAGCATTACATCACCTTTTGTTATACAGTACAATATGTGTAACAAGTATGATGTGTGTTACAGCCAGTGTGACAGTGAAAGAAGAGGTGCTGGGTGTTCTGTCGGAGGAGATGTCTTACTTAGTGTCAGATTTGAACCCCTTCACCGAGTACATGTTCAGGGTCAGTGCTTTCACCACAGTGGGAGAGGGCCCCGCTGCAGACATCATGGAAAAGACCAGAGAACAGGGTACACTACTACTGCTGCCATTATAATTCATGTGTAACTAGCAATGATAGGAGTGTATATTATTCCCTCAGTACCTAGCGCCGTGCTGAATGTTACCTACCAGAACATCAGCTCCACTTCCATACTGGTCAACTGGGTCCCTCCCATCAACCCCAACGGGAGAATCACACATTACACCATCTATGGGGTCAGAGTATATGACAGTGAAGAGTTGCAATGGGAGAGCAATGGCACATCCCTATTAATAACAGGAAAGTAGCAACATGTTTTAGTGTATTTCTAAGATTTTGTTTAAAGCTAATAATTTTCATGACACACATCTCTATAATATATTATAGAGCTACTGATAACTGTGATGACAGCAATTCATTATGTAAATGTAAATTTTCCTTCCAGATTTAGATAAATATACAGGCTATAAGCTTGGGGTGGCAGCCTCTACAGCAGTGGGAGAAAGTGAACTCACCAATGAAGACTACATCTATGTTTATACTGAGGAGGATGGTATGTTCTAGACACTATATATCTGTGTATCTCTTTTTCTGTCTAATTTATCTATTATAATAATCACTTTTTTCTTTCTTTTTTTCCCCAGTGCCAGACTCCCCTCCCACCAACCTCACTGTGGTCGACACCAGTCCCTCCACTGCCACTCTCTCCTGGTCGCCCCCTGAGCAGGCCAATGGAGTTATTCAATATTACCAAGTCCACTATGGCAATGACACCTTTGAGACGGCTATAAACACCAGTACAAACAGCGCCACACTAATGGACCTCAAGCCCTTCTCCTTCTACAACGTGTCTGTGAGAGCATTTACCCGCCTGGGCCATGGAGACCAAAGATCAGACTCATTACTGCTGCTGTCTGGAGAGGACGGTATGTTTATGCATTTTACATTCCTCTAAATGGGCCAGTATTGTCTGAGAGGCTGGCTTCAATGGTAGTCCCTTTGTAGAGTTTAGAGTGCCAGCAAAGAAGATAGAATAAAATCAAAAAGTATCTCAAATGGTTAAAATTAGAGGTTATTATGTAAAAGTTTGCTCAAATATTAATGTATTATTTCATACTAGAGTTGTCAAAAGTATTGAAACTGAGATACTAATTGATACTAAAAAATAGTATCGAAACTAGATAGATATAGTATCGATACTCTTTGAAATCGAGTTTGAGTTGAGTATTTTAACGCAAATTTGTTCAAGTCTTTTTTTTTTTTTTAATACTTTGATACTTGGAATGTTTTGCACATTTGTTAGGAGGGAGTTCCTGGTCTTCATCCCTCTTAACATAACACAGTATAATTTTTATTAGTAAGAAAAGCGAATATTATTCATTAGTTCATAGAAATGCACATGCATAAGAACTACATATGGTTGTCTTAGTATAAAATGTTTGAGTAATAAATACTTTGTGATCATATATGCATATGGGTATAAGTATTAAGGGAAAACCAAATTTATGGTCTATGGGAGGTATGTCTAAACTATGTCCCATTTCTTTTGCCCCTCAAATTTCCAGGTGAATTGGCCCATATTAATTTAAACAATACTTCTTACTGCAAGTTTTTGAAAATCTACCTTGATAAAGCCAATATCATATATTTAGTATGTTCTATTGAGGATCTAAGCATGAATAAAGGTCTAGTGGCTTGCATGCACATATTTGAATTATTCACTGTATTGACCTCCAGTCTATGGCCCTTGACTGGCCCTCTATTTCGTCTGTGTTTTGATATGCAGCATGTGATGAAAAGAAGTTTGGACACTCCTGGTCTAAGGTGTTCCTTTTCTAAAGCCTGTAGACTGAATTTATAAACGCCCTTTTCAAGATGAAACAGTAACTCTCAGGTGAGAAAAGTTTGTCAACTCATGAACTAAACTCTTCTTGTGTTCTCAGTCCCGGGCGGACCACCAAACGACCTGTCCTACGAGTCAGTCAGCCCCAGTGAGGTGAACGTGACCTGGCTGCCTCCTGAACTTCCTAATGGGAATATCACGCATTACGGTCTGGAGCTCTGGAACTCCACTCACTTCCTCAACCTCACCTCCAGCACCCAGCACCTGCTCATCCAATACCTGAAAAAGTACACGGAGTACAGGCTCAGGGTGCAGGCCTACACGCGGGTCGGCCCAGGCAACTTCAGCCAGCCCATCAACATCACCACACTGGAGGACGGTAAGGGATTTGTTTTTTTTTTTTTTCCCCAGGTGTTTTATGGGATCCCAGATTACATCATGGATGAAGGAGATCATCGGATTACATTTTGTCCTTCTCTTGAATTACAGCTCTTTGTTTCTCTGCATTCTAATCAATGTTACATCACAGGTACTACTCGGAGGATGTGGCTTCAGCTTTAACCAGGAGATTTCTTTCTTTCAGTAACATTTTTTTTTTTTATCCCAAGCTCTGCCATTACATTTTTTGTCTATTTAGTTGTTAATCTCTTGTATATCTCAGCCCCTGATACCCCACCTCAGTTTTTACGTGCTCGAAAGTTATCTGACTATGAGGTGGAGTTGTCTTGGGAGGCACCACGGGAAGCCAATTCTGACATCTTGTACTACAAAATCCGAGTTTGGTGAGTAGGTTATTAAGAGGGGGTATTATGTAAAATCTACTTTTTAGAGCTTTCTATCATGTTATAGCATTGTTCCAGCATCAAAAACATGCCAGAAGAACTAGTTTAAGAAGAATATTTTAGCAATCTCTCCAGGGCCCTGTTCAAATCCTCCTTATGGTTAGTTGTAAGATTCTGTCCAATGCTTTGCCTACAAACCTATTCCATGCTCCTGCACAACAATTTTCCACAAATATACAAAAGCGAAATACAAAACAATACACTATAGTGTCACAAACCTGATGCAATGATCAATAGTTTAATTTGTGGGATGCCTGCTGATTGTGTTGTGATAACACTCTGAAAGGGGAAGAGCAAAGGGAGGGGGATTAAACATGTTAATACATTGTTTTCGGTGTAATATAGCATTTCCAAAACAATAAAAGGAAACACGGTGATCCAAATATGTGTAATAATGTGTATGTGTTAGCAGTTAATACCCCATAGAAGTAAAATACTCCCTCTTTAAAGTGTGTAATAGGAGTTTGAAATTGGGACCTGGGTGAGTGAAACATATTGTGTATGTGGTTATGATAGGAATGAAACAACAGAGCAGTGGCAGAATGTGACGGGGACTTCAGTTGTAATAAATGTGGACTCTGAAAGCCCCTACAACGCCTCCGTGTCCAGCTGGACCCGCATGGGGGATGGAGGGGTGCTCGTCTACATCAGCTTTTCTACTAGTGTGGCAGGTGAGGACATGCACTAGCTCATGTGTACAGTTAAAGGGCCCATGTTACAATGTTTTCTGAGGTTTGTATTAATGCTGTTTCCTCATCCAAAACATACCCCCAGTTGTGTTTTGTTTAAAATGTTTAACTCACAAATCCTACATGTTTGAGCTGTGTTCTTCTCTCAAAATGTAAACACTATCCTTAGTACCTTGTGATCATGTTATCTTGTCATCAAGTGATAATATAGGAAGTGGTTCACTGTGTTTTTAAACTCTACAGCTTCACTAGAATTATTTCAATGACTGCCAAATCTCGACTGAACAACTGTAAACTGCTGTTTCATGACATCATAAGGTGGAACAAAGCATTTTGAGCTTTGGTAAACAGAAAGGGTTACAAAGTGCATAAATAATAAGTGAGTGAATAAAACAAAACAAACTCTGGTTATGTTTTTGAGGAGGTAACAACATTATAACATTTTATTATAACTGGGCTAAAAGCTCACAGCAGTCAGTAATATAGGGCCATTAATAATGAACTGAGTCATCCATTGCCATCCAAAGGGGAGATGTGATGTTCTTTCAGACTTTATCAGATGCCTTTTGATACATTTTCATAGTCATTTTATTATGTTTTTAAACTTATTTAATTATCCATGCTTTATTTAGTTTTCTTTGAACACCTGGGGTTGAAATGTTCAGTCTGGTGATGATATCAGAAACTAGCCCTTCCAAGTTTTTATTCCTTATGTAGAGACATGAAACCAAATGTGTGTTAGGAAAGGAGAGGACCTCACCAAAGTAACAGCCTGCATAAGCAATACAAAATACCAGTTCTTGAGGTGCAAACGTTATACTTTGTCTCTTTAAAATTCTTTAAATTTCAACAGTAAACTGTGCTGTGCATTAAGATCTTTACCAAAATATCATGTTTTCTTGAATTAATTTTGTTTGTTTCATTGCAGAGCCGTATGACCCTCCTCACAATGTGACTGCTGCAAACATGACCTTCTCCTCAGTCACTCTGACATGGCTCCCACCCCGAGAGCCTAACGGGATTATAGTGCACTACTCCATCTACTACAGAGACAACCACACTGTGTTGGAACAGGTAGGACACATGCCTAAGACCTGAATGTCTAAGACATAGACCACAAAGTAAGTAGTGAGTATTAAGTAATAAGTAAGTAGCTAAATGATACCAGTGAATAGCAGATTGATGAGTAATAGTCACAAAAACTGATCGCACCGCTTGTTCCTCAGCCATCTTAATTCCTTCTCTGTGCATTGTCTCTGTGCATGTGTGATGTTTCTGATGGTTCTTTTATTATGTAGACCTCTTACCCCCAGCATTCTCAGGGCTCTTGTGAGAAACTGCACAGCAAACCATCAAACTTCACGGGGCTGCAGCATGCTTGCCCTCCCTGGTTCCTTTATGTGTCTACTAGCTCCATGTACTTACCCATGTTGCTCTCAACGGCCTCCTTCTGGTCTTCTCAGGGGACAGCCTGACAGCAATGCCATACCTGGCCATAATGTAGTCTCTGCAATTCTGTCTGGGAATTTCAGTTGTCTCCCATAGATCAATCTTCAGCCGCCAGTCCCTTGCTTCTCCAGTTTGCTGCTTTGCTGATTGCTGGTGTTTGTTGCTTGAGATGCCTATGCTGATGGCCTCTGCAATGACTTTCAGCACTCGTTCGTGGTGCTATCAATAGTGCCCCTCTGCCAAGGCTCTTGGGCAGCAGCTCAGGATGTGTTCTAATAAGTCTGCCCCCTGGCAAAGTGGACCCCAGTGAAAGAGTTTAAATGGTGTAGACAGGCTTGCTGTAGATTGATTCTGGATGGATTGTAGCCAAGTCCTGCTCATCCAGAGGCCACACGTCAGCATGGACCTGCCTCATGTGCACTCCACTTCCTTCCAGTTCTGACTTTACTCTCAGGCTCATCTCGGTACAGCAGCACCTCTCTTACACGGCACTGCATTTTCATTGTTTTCATTATATTTGCAATTATCATAAGTTAGGATAGGAAATTGTTTATCTATCCCACAATGGAGACATTTCAGCAGAAGAATAAAAAAGTAATATTATCAGCCATTGTGTGCCATTCTTGTGAGAAAATGTATGTTTATATTTAATTGTAGAAAGTGTACACGAAGGAGTTGAGCTCCTCTTCTGATAAGGCCCTGTACTACACTCTGACTGGGCTGATCGGAGGAACCAACTACACTGTGTGGATGACCTCCAGCACCATCCAGGGCGATGGAGGAGTGCAGACGGATCTGTTCACTGTACTGTTACCAGAGGGAGGTCTGTCACACACACTCCTAAATCTAAAGAATATATGCTTGTAGGCTTACTTCTGCATATACACTAATCTGTACACTTTTTTCAAATCTGATCCTGATGAAAATTACATAAAAACTCTTTGTGTCAGTTAGGCAAAGGAAATAACTCTTTCTTACAAACTGTCTGTCTATGACGGCTTTATAGACATGCAGTTTGTGTTTCCTTTTTCTAAACATGACCAGTGGTGTCAAGGATTAAACGTTGTACAATTTTAGGATTTAAACAGGAATTGAGAAAACATTTGCGGTTTTACTTTGGCTCTAATGTTTTATAAATGTTGTGTTTCCATAGAAACTAACATTTGCATACAAATTTAATCATACCCAAACTCATCATACTTTCTGTTGATGGGTGTACATGTTTTTATGTGATTTTGTGAAAAATGGTGCAGATTTTGATATGTCACATTTGTATATCATGAGCTTGATGATGTTTTCTCTATCTTATACTGACTATGTTTCTGCCTGTACCCAGCCTGACAGGGGACCACCAGAGCAGCTATCCTTTTGTGCTTCACTCAGCCCAGCCGGGGCACCTTCTTCTGGGCTCAGACCTCCACACCACTCGGGTCTCACTAACACCTATGGATCTCTCAAGTGTCATTATGTCTTTTGAACTGTCTTTTCTTTCCCTCTGTGTGCACTGCTCACTGCCTCTAACATTGAGGTACAGAGCTGTACAAACATGGAGGACAGGATGAGTATTTCATTCACCATGTTTTATCATCACGCTTCTCCTTAATGTGTGCCAATGTGTAATGTTTCCTTATTCACTCTGCTATTGTGTCTATTATTTATGTCAAATGTGTCATCTGTTTTCTCTAATCATTCCAGTTCCTGTGACAGATGGTGACCATAATCATGATGATATTGATGAATTATGTGCTGCAAACACAGTTTTATTGTGTGTGGTTGCTTGATATCAATAACTGTGTCTATGTCTGTTTTTAGATTTACCCGTGACTTGCTGCTAATATGTTTTCCTCTGTCCGTCTTTAGTGCCCAGTGATTCTGTGCACAACCTGACTGCCACTAACGCCACTGCCCAGGCCATCCTGGTCACCTGGGACCCCCCTCTGGAGCCCAATGGACGTCTGCATTACCTGCTCACCTTACAGGAAGATGCCCTCCCTCCCAACACGTCCAACCAAGGGCCTCCTTACAAGATCATCAGACAGACCACTACAGATACTGTTTATCTTTTTACCAAGCTCAGGATATATTTCCCCTATGTGTTTAATGTTACCCCGGCAACGGCAGCTGGCATTGCATACAACCACACAAGGACGCTGCACCTGAGGACACGTGACGATGGTAATCTAAAGAAGTGTAAAAGTGACATTTAGAGCAGTAGGGACATAAAAGATGAGAGCTTTTGCTAATGATGACCTTATTCTATGCTAAAATATTATGAAAAAATGAAATACTTTATTTTTGTTTTAAATGCTCACACAATCTTATGTTTTTGTGATTTTTTTGTTTTATTAGTTCCCTCATCACCTCCAGTGCTGGTGTCCACACGGAACCTGTCATCATCTTCTGTCGCTGTAGTGTGGCAGCGCCCTCTAGAGGCAAATGGGGAGATAACAGAGTATACCCTTACACTATCTGGCCCTGGAGGCACCAACACTACATCCACTACTGAGACTTCGTACAAGTTAACCAACTTACTCCCATACACAGCCTATAACTTATCTATCACTGCGGCAACCCGCAAAGGCAATGGCCCTGCTCTCACGCTACACCTGCATACAGATGAAGGAGGTGAGAGAGTGTGGCTAACAGGCATCTCCATAAAACACATGATTATAAATGTATGATCCCTGAGCTTTGATCTTAATGAAGCTTTAAAGGTGCAGTGTGGAGCCTTTGGCAACAGCCCTGCCAGCCGTACCAGTTCTTCCTATTTTTCCAAATAATTAGTCTGGTCTCTGTGGATTTGAGCTACATTTCCAGGGAGCAGTTTCAGTCAGTGGTGCAAGTTTAAACCAGACAGACATACAAGTGAAGGAAATAGCAGAAAGCAAGATATCTGTTTGTGTTAGAAGCAATAAATTTGGCAAGGATCTTTGGGATGAAAACATTAAATTACTAATTAAACCAAGTGGAGCACCAAATGTGGGTGTGTCTTCAAACTATTAAGGCAAGACATTTAGAGATGTCAGTCAGATGTCAGATGTAGATATAGTATTGCTGGGTTTCAGGTAACATCACAACATTTTATTGACCAAAAATATTTAATACAGATGGGGGCAGCTCTAATTGATATGGTGAAAATGCAAATATTGTTTGTAATAAGAATACACTGTTAGGTACATTTGTCTTAAAGATATTGGCTTTTATTGGCCAATTGTTTTTAGATGTCATATTGTGGGGATAAAAAATACATATACACACTCAATTCATGATTTTTTTTTGTATCTAAAAATTTTAATTAAAAATCAAAATGATTAATTATTCTAAAATCCTTTGATCATGTATTGTATGTATATCATGTATATCTAGCAAATGAATAAAATGCCAAGGTCTCAATTAAAGTAAATGAGGTATACAGTATATGTTTTACAATAAAGTCAGAGTATATAACTTTTTAGCCAAAATAATAAATAAATCAAATAAAGAAATAAAACAAGAGCATGTTTTTTCATGTTGGATGCATTTAGTGTTGTGGACCTTACTGTGAATGAGCTTACAGCTCTGTGAACCTGACCCATATTTGGCCTCCACCTGCTTGTTTCCATGAAAAACTCATTCCTTTGGCTACAATCTTAATAGAAAGAAAGTTACATTTTGCAACTTCAAGCAGAACCCTGAAATCCAGAATGTGAGAAAGACACAGAGCCATGTATACAAAAGAAAAAACAATATATTGATGAATACCTTTGTAATCCTGTTGTGCCCCAGGGCCCATGTCCCCTCCACGTAACCTGACCATATACAACTACACGGCGGTGTCAGTGTGGCTGAGCTGGGAGCCTGCTCTGGAGCCCAATGGAGTGGTGACGCACTATGGCTTCAGGATCCTGGAGCTCATCACACAGACGGTCACACTCCAGGTGCTACTAATTTCACAGCCCGAAAGTCCACAGCCCCCTCCCCAAAAATACACCCCAGCATGCCGCTAAGTACCTTCACACTGTTATATTTACTCCAATTTCACAGACTGCAAAGCACCACAAACATGATATTTAAACACTCAAATGCACAGAGTCAAAGCAGTGTTATTCCTTCCACTAGATGAAGTAACCTGTTCTATCATATTTACTGTTTATGTGTAGAATTCCTCGGGTCCATCCACTATGGAGTATCTGTCTGGGTTCCGGCCCCACAGCTCCTATGAGATAAGTGTGTGCAGCTACACACGAGTGGGCCATGGAAACCAGTTCAGCAGCCCAGTCACCTTCACTACCAATGAGTCAGGTTTGTACTCTCACAACATTCATACATATTACATTACATTATCAAGATACACTTTTATGTTATCCTTTTACCTTTTTTCAGTAGAGATAGGCAATTTTAGGGCTAAAATCATCCAAATGATTCTAGGGATGGTGTATAGAGCTAAAAATACGGTGCAGCACTTCCTGTATGCCACATGACATCGCAAGGTGGAACAGAGTGTTTTCTGTTTGAGAGAAGAACTCAGGCTGAATTAGAAGAGTTTGTGTATGAATGAAACAATGTATGTTATAGCATAGATCAGAAAATAGTGTCATACCAACTTTTTAATGGTACAGCCAGTTAGACCCACTTTCAGCCACTGTTGCTGTGTGAACGCAGCAGGGGGAACTCAGGTTGATTCTTCTGACTAACAGGAACTGGGGATTATGGGGACTTAATTCTTAATGTGTGAAAAACCTGTTATCTAAACCTAACATGATAAAGCTGATGATAAAGTAAGTATTCACTCTGTGTTATCATCAAATTTAATTCCAAATTCATCCCTGTCTATTCACTTTCCATCTTCTTAAAATGTAAATGTGAGTAACCTTGAGTGTATTTAAGTGCAGAATAAAGATGAGCTCTAAGACCAAATGCCTTCTGAAATCCCTGTAACTGTGTGTGCAGTGTCTGACGCTGTGAATAATCTGTTATGCGCTGGAGTGAGCTGGGACTCGGTGTACTTAAGGTGGGAGAGCCCGGACAACCCCAATGGCCAGATCCTGTTTTATGAGATCACAGTGGAGGTGAACGCAGAGAGGCTACTCCATCAGGCTCTTACAACAGACTACACCATCTCAGGCTTGGCTCCAGAGCAGCACTACACTCTGACTGTGATTGCGGTCAACTCTGCGGGGCCTGGAGACGTGGTTAACTGTACCGCCAGCACACTGTCCGAGTCAGGTACAGCACAGTCTCAATCAGACTGGACATTTGATTATAGAGGAGGAGTTTTCTTGTGTCTCATTTGATGGTGTATGATAGCTTCACCAAGAATTGTTGAAAATGTAAACACTAACATTTGAATCCTAAGGAATAAACTTGACGCTGGATAGTAATTCCACAATCATATAAAAAAAAATTATAATAATAAAATGTCATTTTTAACTTAAATTACACTACTTTCTTATATTGCCATGTGGTTTTATAACTGTGTTATCCCACAGTCGTTCAGATCGGTTTCATAGTGGTCCATGGGCATATACTATATTTATACTTGTTCTGATGAAGTTCAAGAGCATTCTAAAGCAATTCAAAAGGTTCATTTCTGCCCTTGAATGTGACTTTTTGTAGTTTCAGCACTAGCTTTAATAATGATTAGCATCTGAATGTCAATACATTTGACAACCCTACTTTAAAAATGCACTATGTAACTTTCTGGAGAGTCTGGAGAGAGTCTGGAGAGAGTGCAAAGATATAACATCTTTTTGTCTCCATGGAGATGTTATATCTTTGCATGTTCCACAGTAAGGGATTAAACTTGTACATCTCCATGGAGTCAAGTAGATGACAGCCACAGTCTAAGAAACAGGCCTGATCTGTGAAGAGGCGAATCCACTCACAATAAAAATGCATGTTTTTCACTATTTTATGAAGTTTAGAAGTAAAACACCAATAATTTAATAAATGAAGTTGCTGTGCAACATTCCAGGCTAAGCAATTACAACTCTATGGAGACAAGAAGGTGCCATACACTCCACCAGAAAAGTTACATAGTGCACCTTTTTGATGGTTTATTTGGCATCGATATTAACAGTTACATGGTTAATGGTTACAATTGTACCCTGTCTGTGTCTCCCTACTTATTAGATATTCTCTCAAACCTTAGTGTCTACTTTGTGTAATCTATTTGAAGTAATTTAAAGTGTGTTTAATATCACTGTTGTTCCACAGTCCCAGCTGCCCCTCTCAGCCTCATCATCTCAGGGGCCACAGCTAACAACATGACTCTGGATTGGTCCCCTCCGCTGTCCGTCCCCGGTCTGCTCAGACAATACCAAATAATTGCACAGCTGCTGTCCACTGTTTGTGCATCATCCCCCACTATTACAGATGACACTCCGGAGTGTGTCGACGACAGCTTCATGTTGTCCCTTAATGTGTCCAATGGCACTGCAGACCAGTCCAGCTTCACAGTGCAGGCCCTGTCTAAATACAGGTCCTACCGCTTCAGAGTGGCTGCGGTCACTAACGCTGGAGTAGGGGAGTACACTGCCTGGGTGTATGGTCGGACCTTGGCAGGAGGTAACGCTTTTCAGTTCAACTCTACTATTTTACAACATATGACAGATCACCTTTAAGAAGCAATACATTTCTAAAACTTAAAGGGGTTGTACCTGATTTGAATTTATTTTGGCCAACATTGAGACTGTAAAATAGAAGTGATTCATTTTACATAGTATTTTCTCATGTAATTAAATAACACATAAGATACTGACAGGGTTAGTTCTTTCTGTGTACTCAGGCACAATGTTACTAAGAATCAAGGGAAATCATCTGCCTAACACTATCCCATACACTTTATTCTCTTTCATTTTCAATGTGACAAAACCACATTTTTTGTAATTTTTGGTGCATTTTTATTTGATAGTTTTGACACCACTGATTACCTCCCCAGCCTGTAGGCTAGACTAGAAACTATTTGCAATGAATATTAATGTTGTTGGAGATGTTATTTGTACTGACAGCCCTCTAACACAAACACAAATCAAAAGGAAATATTACGTAACTTTCTTCTGTAGATCCCGACGCTCCCCCTCGTGACCTCCAAGTGACCTCCACTGCCAACAGTCTACATGTGATGTGGGAGGAGCCAGCTGTTCTCTCTGGACCAACCAAATATCTAGTTCAGGTTGGTTTACTTGTTTTCCTGCACAAACTAATATGCATGTATGCAGATATAACCAGAGGTTGGTAGTAACCAAGCAGCATACTTTGACTTCTGCTTGATTACTATTTAATGAATTAACAGTACTACAAGTGACAAAAGCTTTATTTTGACATTTATTGACATTTATATTTTCCTTCAGATATTTAGTTTTTGTGACTATCCTTTGAAGATATAAGATTTTGTGCAACTTATATTATAAATCAGATGGCACGCAGATGAGAAAAAGATTTTATGCCTTATTTAATATTTTGTCCTTCAAATAAGACTATTTAAACTTTACCTTATTAATTAAATGCTACGGCCAGGCAGTTACTCCTTCACTCCTTACTTTAGTAGTAGTTTTCCCAAATACTTACTTTACTTACTGTTTGCTTTACCCACCTCTGGATCTAACTTGCCCTTGCTACATTTGTTGTTCTGTGCTTGTAGGTGGAGGGCCCTGGGGTGAACTTGTCCCTGGTGCGGGGCCCAGCAGAGAAGAATAGCCTGCTTGTGTCTAACCTGACGGCTTTCTCCACTTACTTCGTGACTGTCATCGCCTTCACCGGCCCAGTCCAGTCTGCAGCCATTGATGGAAAGGCCATTGGTCCTCTCGTGTTTCACACCTTAGAGGAGGGTATGCAAGTGTTTGTATATTTAAATTTGTGTGATTAATTATTTTCAGTTTCACTGTACTTATATTAAAAACTATTGAGAGGTAGGTGAAAAGTTAACTGCACGAAATAGAAACTTAAAACCATACACTGGAACTTTTCCTTGGTTATAGATGTTGCATTAGTAACTCAAAAGTAGCTCAAATACTGTCCATCTAATTTGATTAAATTGTACAAAATATACAAAATTCTTCTGAAAAGGTAGGCTTACCTATAGGGCAGTTGCTGAATTTCTCTTTTTATATAAATGGCCTATTATTCCTTATTAAATCTTACTGTATGATCTGCCTGCAGAGCCCAAGAGCCCTCCGACCAATGTGACAGTAACAGTTATCCCAGAGGAGGTGAACCGAGTGAGAGTGAGCTTCTCCCCTCCAGAAGAGCCCAATGGAAACATCACAGCTTATTACGTGTACATCTACCAAGGACAGGAGATAGTGAAAAACATCAGCCTCACTGCTATTCACTCTGAGGAGAACCAGCTAACAGCAGTGATCGACGGCCTGAAGGGAGGACACAACTATACCATACAGGTACAAACCTGACACTGCTGCTATTGGTCAACGTTTATTCTGGACAGGATTATTCAGATCTCAAAATAATCAGAAGAACTAAGCCTGTTATACCACTAGTATATCAAGTTACTGTTCAATACATGATAGAACAACCGTGGGTCCTTTTTGTACAGTTTTTTTTATGTATGGTGAGATTTGAGCTGTAGAAGGTTGACTTTTATGACAGATACAAACTAGTGTTTCAGTGTTTATTTGTTGTAGGTCATGTTTTTAAGTATATTGTATATTTACATTTGTTTTTGTTTAATCAATAAGCCTAGTTTCAATATTATCATTTATTGTCTCTATTTTGTTCATGTATATATTGCACTAAAGTTGTCAAACGTTTTGAAAGATACTTATTGATATTATACCTAGTATCAAAACTAGATACTCATTTGAGCAGGTGTCAGTACTAAAACAGTCACATTCACAGGACTTTAAAAAAATTTAACTTTCCCAAATAGATTTGGAATGATCTTGAGCTGTATTAGAACAAGTAAAAAAACACACAAGCACAGAGATTACACAGGTTTAGCACCACGTGGTAATATAAAAGAAAATACTATGATTTAATTTTGAAAGTTTTATCATAGTCATCAATCATAAAATTTTATTGTCCAAATAACAAGTTTTTATTATCATTGTGGTATCAGAATTTGCAGAATCTGTATTACAATATTGGACTTTAAATTTTGAAATTTTAAACTGGCCTAGTAAGTACTGAAAAATATTAACAATTTAACCCATCTAAGCCTTTGAAACTAAATTAAGTCAGTTCAGTTTATACTAAAAACAAATAAAACTATGTACAGTGCACTTTTATCTCTTAGACAATGTGAATGAAAAATTGTTGTGAGGTCAATAATTCAGATTGATTGTAACATGAAAAGCCGATATTGTAAAATTCCTTTTATCTTGAACCGCTATGTTCTGTCTAATTTATTTAAATGAACTGGAGTACACCCTTACAGTAAATACCTCCACAAAAAAGAAATACCTCCACAAAAAAGCTTTACATGTCTTGACAAAAATGTGTTTTTTACTAATAGTTCAGCCAGTGGAAAAATGTCACCACAAGCATAAAAGAGGCATTTCTGTGATGAATTACTCACAAACAGAGTGTCATCTTGGCCCTAAAGTCATTATGGTGTTATGCGGGGGGAGTAAGTTTTACAATGTGAAGTTACAAGAAATTCTTATCAAAATGATGGTGACATTTACGTGGTTATACAGAGGTGCTTTGGTAAATGCCAGAAACACTCATGACAGTTTCAAATCCTGTCTGTCTGATTGTAGATCTCAGCGAGGAATGGAGCAGGCAGGAGCCCCCCCAGCCCCCACGTCCAGATAACTACAGCCATCAAAGGTACAATAGTGCACTTACCGCTTAGGGCACAAGAGAGTGTAGCAGAGAAAGGAGATGATTAGCAGTGTAAAAATGATGTGTAAGCCTAAAGTGCAAGTGCAGTGTGGGTGTCTGCTGCAGACTACATAACCCGTCACTCATCTCTTCTGCTCTCTCACGTGTGGTCATCCCAGCTCCGTCCAAACCCACCCAGATACCCCGGGCGATGCTGGGCCCCCGAGGGGTTGCTATGGTAACCCACAGGAGTATCTACATCCACAAGCCTGCCTGTTTCTATAGTGACGACAACGGACCAATCGCGAGAATCCAGGTCATCGTGGCCGAGTCAGGGGGTATGACTCTTTTGGAATATATCATTAAAGGAATTACTCTTTGTAATTACTCTTAAATAAAATTCTGCTTACAATGTTTATTTTAAACACATGTGGAGCAATATGATTTTAAATATTATTATATTAAGTCTACTCTAAACAACAGGATTAGTAGTAATATATCAAAATATGACCACCATGGAGATGGGATATTTTGTCACTTTGCAAAGGATATCGCAATATTTGACATCATCTTGATCAAACTCAGATAGGTTGGGTTCATGTGACATCACAACATTCATGAATCTAAAATAGTTTAAACTGAAGTAGAGACAGGTCAGAATTACATGGTGGAATTTCCTGTTTAACTGTCAGATTGCAGATTTGTTAAACTGGTTTATGGTTAATATCTCTGTATTTACTCAGCCCAACAACAGGAATCAAAAACTGGTACAAGCTTCAACAACGTCTCTGTTTAAATAAACAAATAGCTTCAGAATGTGGTCCTACTATTAAGCCCAAAATGATTGTTGTGAGTTGAAAAGATATGGCAACCGTTCAACATTTTTGGATTTAGAATTTCTATATTTCATTTAAAAGAAGTACATTTCTCATACAGTTATATGAGCATCATCAAATTCTAGAACGTGAATGCAGCTTACTAATTTAGTTTTTTAGCAGTAATATGACTTTGATTAATCACCTGTAAATCACAAATTCCTGTCTAATTCTTGTTTCACATTTCAACAGTAAAAGACGCTGAGAACGTGACTAACTGGCGAGCTGCCTTCTCCCGGTCTCCTGCCCCTTACATCACAGACAGGGGCTTTCCCAACCCACCCTGTGAGGACCCAAACTCAGACCCTGACCTCAACCAGAGGATAGGCCAGCACCTCCTGTGGGGGGACAAGCCTCCTCTGGCACTGCCCAATATGACGGGAGTATACATGATCGGACAGAGGGATGACTGCCTGAACGAGACAGACACCTACTGTAATGGACCACTGAAGCCTAATACTGTTTATGTGTGAGTGAACCATGAGTGATAAACGTGTGCCAGAATGAACTATTAGCTGTGCCCTCTTAAGACTTTTCTCGAACTCTGAAGATGAACCAAGCACTTGTTTCCATATAGTTCTTTTTCAGCTGTGTGTGTGTGTGTTTCACATCTCTGATTGGATAAACTGTTCGTGGCAGGTGCTTCCTTGTAGTTTTCATTCAGCAAAAACACCTTTAAAGTGAGTTTATAACAAAAAAAAAAAATCCTGCTTTTCAGTTTACTGTATGAAGTTAAAATAAAAAATCAAGCACGTTTTTATTGCCTTGAAAAGGTAAAAAACAGAACTAGATCATTTTAGACAATTTGCAATGGTCCAAAGTTACTCTTCATTCTGAACATCCTAATTTATTCACCAATATGTGTTTATTAGAGCTTTTCACAACCCTAGTGTGGAGCTAACAACACTTGCATGCTAAAACGCACTTCCTGATTATCCGACAAATGCTTTCTAATGAGATGCAACTTCAAGAGTTGCTTATATAACACATTTACATAAATAAAAGTCCAGTACAAGTCTTTACACATAGACAAATGAGACTTGTGAGTAGGTATATAAGCCATAAAGAGATAGCAGAATGGATTTTTCAGGAAAAATGTCTCCCCAAATGCTTAGACACTGGTGGTGAAGAGAAGATGGAGAGGCGGAGGAGGCTAAGGCTTCTGCTGCTGAAGTGGAGATGAGGTGGAGGAGGGGTGAAGAATGCAGTCTTTTGTCTCAAAAACATTCTTTTGAAAGCCTTAACCCCTTGTTTTCTTGATATCCAGTTCACAGAGAAGAGAGATGGTTGTGTCATTTGTGAGAATGTGGGATTTAAGGCAAAGGCAGAATTTGCTTAAATATTTAGAGATTTGATTGTGGTTGAAGAAAAGGGGATAGAGCATGCAATTGAATGTATGGCTTGTGAGCTGATTGGTTTACATTTAAAAGTACCAGTTAAAAAACAAACAGGGAGGAAATGCAGTCTTCCTGGTTGAAACAATAAATAATGCATTAGGCTCATTTATCTTTCTAAAGTAACAGTTTCTGTGTTTTTCCATGGCACCCAGGTTTAAATTCCGAGCCACCAACATCAAGGGCGAGTACACAGACTCGGAATACTCAGAGCACATCAAAACCAATGGTATGATGATTCTCATTTTGTGCATAATTGGCTCAGCTGTGTATGCAATGTGATTTGTGTTGTGGTGCCTCTTACAGCAAACGGGCTGTTAACCAGAGACGAGCAGATCATCCTGGGAGTGCTCCTGTCCTTTTTCCTGGCAGTGTTGTTGATAATCATCATCTGCTGCTCTGTCAAGTAAGATGCACCAAGAATCCAGTGGTTCATTATCAGGAATCAGAGGCTGAGCATATCAGTTATAGCCAGTGAGCAGCACCTGTGTGAATAAGGCTCATCATGTTCAGATTACAGTGGCTCCTGGATATGCAGCAGTTCATCCATTATCTCTGACAAATATTTTTTCTTAACCACTAAAATGCCACAAAGCTGCAAATTAACCTAGTTTGCACTAAAATTGCCAAAAAAAAGTACTAGTAGGAAGAGTAGATATGCATTAAAACACTGGGTCATGAACAGTAGTTACCACATAGTTGGTTAGCCTTTTAACTTCTAACTGCTTAATATTTGAATTTTTAAAAAATCCATTTGGAAAAAGGGATAGGAAATTAACTTTGACAACTGTAGTAGGCTTCAAAGTGGTCAGGACTGTTGAGCTCCATTGCGTCACTGAGCAAGACACTTCAACCACAGTGTCTATGCCTATAAAATGTGAATGTGGAACTGAGTGAATACATAATGCACTAAACTGTAGAGCAATAGACAAGTGCTTTCAATGCCATATTCTGAAAGTAAAGTTTTCCTGGTAACTGTGCTGTTCCCATCCAGACTTCACCAGCACAAAAAAGAAGGAGGCACTTATTCCCCCCGAGAGGCTGAGATCATAGAGACCAAGTGTAAGCTGGACCAGCTGATTGCCATCGCAGACATGGAGCTCAAGCAGGAGAAAATCAACCGGTCAGTCAGTCTGTCCTCTGCACGAACACAATGTCTTATCCGCACAATGCTCTAGTTTACATTTGTCTACTTGTGTCATCTTTCTGAATACAGTAATTTCATTACTACTTCATTGCACAGTTTTGAATTAAAAATGGGAAATATTATAAAGGTACATTATGTAACTTTTTTGGTAGTGTATATTTTGCATTATATATGAATACTCAGGCAAAGCAATAACATCTCCAGGGAGACAAGCAGGTAATGAAGCCTCCACCAGAAAAGTTACATAGTGCAATTTAAAAAGTATATGACAGGTTAGAGTACTTTTTCAGTAAAACATAGTTAACATGATTATATTTAAGAATAAAAAATAAAAAAAAGTTTTACATATTTTTCTTTGTAATTCAAGTGAAGTTTATAATTTTACATCCTAGTATGACACACGTAGAGGTAATTCCACAGCTGTTACTTAGCAACCATAATGTTAACTGTAGCCATGTCTAAATTACACAATAGTTATGATTAGATAAACAAAAATGAATGATAAAAATGGGTTTCTTTCTTGTAAATTAGAACGATAGTATTTTCTCTGTTGATGACATTGAGGTTTGAGGTATTTTGTTTTAGAACTCTCCACTACTTGTACTACTACTACTACTACTACTACTACTACTACTACTACTACTACTACTACTACTACTGCTATATTTTTTATACTTTTCTCAACTTTTTTTCTTATCTGTGTTTTAGAAAAAAAAAATATATATATCTTGATGATACATAATTAATCCATTTGCGAAGCCTGATGAGTTTTTGGAATACAGACAAAGGTTTATTCTTGTTACAGCAGATATGGACAGGGTATAGGCCTGGCCTTGGCCAGAGACCAACAGCCTCTCCTGAGTATCCTCTCTCCAGCCACCCTTTCACTCCTTCTTTCCCCAGAGTGTCTGAGCTCTGAGTATTTATACAGAAATAAAAGTTACATACATATCAAAGCAGAGTGACTTCACACTCTTGTCACTTATGCTAATCAACTAAGCTTACATTTGAGGACTTACATCAGACAACAGTTTAGCTTCCTGGGGGTGGAGACAGTTGTGTCTGATGAGTCTTTACACATGCTAATGACTGGTCTGGTCTAAGGTAGAAATCACATTCATTTACACAAAGAAAGATTGAGGGAAATGTTTCTGCAATATAAATTTCCATCACTCCCGATATAAAACTTTGATAAGTAATATTTACAGGCACTATCCCTCCAAAACAAGTAAGAATTCTAAAAACATGAAAACCTGTCATATGTACTTTAAAGTAAACCCAAAATGCCTTTAAGGAAGTCAAAAAGTCAAAGCTGAATAAGTGATTATCTTAACTATTCCACTGAACCTCTCAAATGTGCTTGCATAGTTAAAGTTTCTTTATGTGTTCTTACTCATCACCTCCCTGTGTATCCAAACAGCAGCAGCAGTAGCAGTGTGCACAGGGCATTCATCACTAGACGTTAATGCTTTATTTAGTGCATTGAGACGAGACTTTAAATCTGATGCGACCAGACAAAAAGGTCTTTGGTGCAGCAGGCTGAAGTGAGCTCCTGTCAACAGCAGACTTCCAGCGCACAAGTGTAGAGCTGCACAGAAGCTAAAACAGGAGGTGCACCAGAGCCTGCCTCACTGTGTATGTGCATCCTCACACCTGAGTCTCTCTAACCAGACCTGGCAACTGCTCCACAAACTGCTTTTATCCTCTGTGTGCCCCAAAGTACAAAAGAGCTATCGGCAGAGCAACTATTACATCAACTTCTGCATCACTTTGATAATAACACGTATTACCTTTTCAGACTACCATTTCAGAAAAGATAAAAGACTCACAAACAGAAATTCTAGGACTGTAACAGAAATGTACTTAAAGGTGCACTATGTGACTTTTCTGATCTGGGGTTTGCCACCTGGTTGTCTTCATGGACTCCCCACACACAGTATGGGGTGAAATGAATCTATCAATATTCTATTTTACTATCATGCAGTTATTAAATTATAGGTGTTTTTGTTGCAAAGGAGATTCCTTAAAAAACATTAATTCGAATGTGAACAGGGTAGAGTCTCCACAGATCTGACCTGTAATTTAGCCTGGTTGCTTCATCTGCTTATCTATGAGGAGATACCATTTAATAAAGTTTTATACCAGAAAAAGTTCCGTTTCACCTTTAAAAAAAAAGAAGGATTCTAATAAGCATAAAAAACTGAAATATACTAAGGCAAGTAATGCAGAATTGTATGCTTTTTGTGTGGGTGACTGTAGCACTGTTCACAGGATCCAACTTTATGGGCACACACTGTCACCCCATAATGTTCCACTCTCATCGTATCATGCTTGATTGCAATAGGAAGGGCATCTGACATAAAAGTCAACACTCAATTTAGCAGATCCTCCATATCTCTGCTCAGATACCTTTTTAATATATTTCTAACGTGAGTAAATCAGGAGATATTTATTGGCTAAACTTCAACTCTTGAGTGTTCAGGCTAAGTTTAGTTCATGTGTTTTAGAGAGCTAAAATAGTATGGTGTGTCAGGCTTGTTGTCTCGTCTCGGCTCCAATTGGATCCCTTTATGACGCCTGCGCTGCTCTGCTCCTGCTGTGGCCCAGATAAAAGCCAGTTAGAGGAATGCTTAAATAACTGCTCTCTGCTCCCTGTCACACATAAGCCAGTACACTTTGGCTTGTTCACAGTCAGCAATCTTCTCCCTCCAGGTACTCCTCATTTTTTTTCAGGCGCAAAGAGATCTATGTCATTCAGTAAGTCCAGCGGTGTTTGGGATCACTTGTGTGTGTGTGTGGTCTTTGTAGCAATAAAGGTAAGTTAAAGTATTGCACTTTAACTTGGCTTTTGGAAAACACTATGGCTATGTCTTGAACAGTTTGTAGTGGTCCAGAGTTATTCCTCATTTACTTTATGCATTCCTAACATCCTAATTACTCACCCGGATGAGTTTATAAGCACCAGTGCATGTTTAGTCGCGACATTCAAGCTGACAACTAGCATGCTAACATCCTGATTATCTGAATATTAAAAGTCTTATAATTTGATGCAGACAGCACACAGCAGACTTATTTTGACCTCAAGAGCTGCTTATACAATATATTGTGGGTACAGAGCCTCTTACAAGTTATTAAGAATAAAGCAGCATTATCCGAAAAACTTTTTTGATTTGAACATGTTTACCTCATATGGGGATGCAGATAGGTCATGTTTATGGAATTTAAAATCAAAATACACACACTTCTTTTAAATACAATATAAAGATACTAGCCTAGTTGAATCGTGATAAAATAGAAATTGTGATATTGATTTTCTTTTGACATATCACCTATATTGTTCGCATGATTCTAACACAAAAACAGTTGCATAATCTTCTCATTCTTCCCGCATGGGAGTGACGTGATGTTTGCCTGCTCTGCTCCTGCCCCCCTTCACTTCCAGTTTGTTTACCTACTCAGCCGTTTTCAAATTGCTTTACCGGCCCAGTGCTGTTCAGGGGCACAAATAACCGGCTTTATCAGCAGCTGGGGATCTGCGCCGCTCAAAGTCCTGCAAGCCAATCCCAAAGCCTGCTCCAGATCATCACATAGTCCTTTAGAATTCCTCTAATCAGGGGAGGTTTGATTCTGCAAGCTCTGATCTCCTCTGTCTGATGGTTATCCGATTAATGCTGCTCTGTGATCGCACTAGTGTTGTGACGATGCGAAATTTTCAAACTCGATTTCGGTGCATTGTGTAGCTTTTCTGGTGGAGGGTCTGTCACCCGCTTGTTTCTATGGATATGTCAGTGCTCTGCCTGGAATATTCCACAGTATGACATTAAACAGCTCTACTTTACATTTATCCAATTACAGGTGGTTTTATAGATCAAAAATATCTAGGAAAATAGACATTCTGACTGTGAGTGAGGTTACCTCTCCGCAGATCTGACCTATAACTGGTCTGGTTTGGTCTCCATGGAGATAGAAAGGTTTAATGCCATACTATGAAATATTCCAGACAAAGTAATAAGAAAAGTGGAGAAAAGTATTTGATGGACCCTCCAGCAGAAAAGTTACACAATGGAACTTTAAATCATATACTTTCTTTCATATTAGAGGCAGGTTCCATAGTGGTCCATGGGTGTATAGTAGTCTTATCTGGTCTTATACTTTTTATACAGCTCAAGATCATTCTAAATCTATTCAGGAAAGGTTCATTTCTTTTTTACTCAAATGAGTATGTAGATTTGATACTAGTTTTACTATCAATTAGTATCTGATTTTCAATACTTTTGACATGCTACTAATTTTCACATTACCTGTTTTTTGTCCAGGCTTCTCAGCTACAGGAAATCCCTCAAGTAAGTCCAAAATCAAGCAAATATTGAGAACATGTTGTTCTCAAATGATGCTTTCTATCTCTGAGTAAATGTGTGTCTTGTGTTTCTTTTCCAGGCCTGTCAATAAGAAGTCCTTTCTGCAGCATGTGGAGGATCTGTGTAGCAATGACAATGCCAAGTTTCAGGAGGAGTTCTCGGTAAGCAGAATTAACCAGGCAAACTTAAAGGTGCACTTTGTAACTTTTTAGTTGGGGGTCCATCACCTCCTTTTTCTATGGATATATATCATTGCTCTGCCTGGAATGCTCCACAGCATGACTTTAAACAGCTATACTTTACATTTATTCAATTACAGGTGGTTTTAAAGCTTAAACAATGCCTAGATAAACAGGTACTCTGACTGTGAATGGATATGCCTCTCCACAGATCTGACCGGTAACTAACTTGGTCTGATTTGGTCCCCATAAAAATAGAAAGGTTTAATACCATACTGTTAAACACTCCTTACAAAGCAATAACATCTCCACAGAGAAAAACATTTAACAGGCCCTCCACTAGAAAAGTTACGCAATGCAGCTTTAAGTAATTTCCATTCAATATATATACTCCAAAAAAGTGCAATTAATGTAAAGTCTGCTTATTTCACCTCAATTTTAATTTATCATTTAGTAAGCTTGATTTCATAAACCAGGTCACAGACTGTAATGTGGTAGAAGAAATCAAAGGAAACAAAGAATTTAATTGTTGTTTCTGGTGTCAATAATCTTGAATAATTTTTAAATTCTCACAATACTGAAATGTGATATGTGACATCCCTATATACAAGTGTGGGCTTTTCACAGGCACTGCCAAAGCTGCTGCAGGACCTGGCCACCACAGACGCAGACATGCCCTGCAACAGAACCAAGAACCGCTTCCCCAACATCAAGCCCTGTGAGTACAACTACAGACAAGAGCAGACAGGAGCAAGCAGGAGAAGACAGGAGCAGACAGGAGCAAACAGGACCTGAGAGAAAAGGCAGGGCAGAGAGGGTTATGCAGGATGTCTGGACAGTGTTTAAACCTAAAGATTATCAAGGACATACTGATATAACAATATTAAATACAGAAATGTACAAGATCCACAAATTATGATGCACTGTGGTTCACATGGCCAACAGAATTTATGGAATACCATCAAGGAGATAAATGTAAATAAATGTAAATAAATGTGAAAGAAAAGTTACTATTTGAGGTACCAGAATAGGCACAGCTGCCTTGCGACAGACATATATCATTCTGTGCCAACTACCATCACTCTTTAAAACCACACAACCACTGTCAATGTCAGTTTTAAAGTCAGTATACTTAAAGGCGTGCTATCTAACTTGGTAGAGGGTCCGCTGCCTACTTGCCATGGAGATGGTATGGCTTTAGAATGTCCCACTGTACCGAACCAAATTACAAGTCTGATCTGTAAAGAGACAGGCCCACTGACAGTAAAAATGTATGTGTGTGTATTAGCAATAAAACCCTTTTATAGATGCAAAGCATTTATATTTATTGCCATAGTGTGGAACATTTCAGTCATATACACAACATCTCCATGGAGACAAGACTGTGGTAGTCTTGTTATGAGAGAGCTTATACAGTGTGCCTTTAAGTAATTGCCTCAATGTAATAGACTTGTGATAAAATGAAAACTGTAGGTGTAGAAAGGCTTTTTGTAAATAAGAAGTACCTTTCAGAGGATCCCTCCCCAGCTAACAGAGCTACCACAGCATTGGGAGTGCTTCCTTATTTGATTTGTGCCTCCACAGTGTCAGTATGGCACACAGTGAGCATTACAAAAGGCACTTGTGTTGGAGCAGCATCTTTTCTACATTGTGATTCCTGTTCTGTGCCTAGATAATAACAACCGAGTGAAGCTGCTCTCCCAGCCAGGCTCAGACGGCTCCGACTACATCAATGCCAGCTTTGTCTCTGTGAGTGCCACAGCATCAGCGCTTTTTAACAAGACTTCAGCAGCACATAGTCACTAAACTCTGGGGCATTTCAGGGCTATCTGTGTCCCAACGAGTTCATTGCCACCCAAGGGCCCCTCCCTGGCACCGTGGCCGCCTTCTGGAGGATGATCTGGGAGACGGGCACCCGCACCATCGTCATGCTCACCCAGTGCTTCGAGAAAGGCCGTGTGCGTACTAATGATGACATTCCCATAAATCATGTGTTAATGTGTAGCACTGAGTAGACAGGATGTGTGCGTGTGCTGTGGGCTTATTAGAACATCCCAGCAGCTTCTTTTCATCAGCTGTCTGACTCCTGTGTGTTGCGTGTGTGTGTGCTGTGTTTGTGTGTACTGGGACATTGCAGATCCGCTGTCATAAGTACTGGCCTGAGGACGACAAGCCCATGTCCGTGTTCAGTGACATTCTGGTGTCCAAAGTGTCTGAGGAGGTGTTCCCCGACTGGACTGTCCGGACCCTGCGAGTGGAGCGGGTGAGGACTGCACTAAGCCCACACACCGGCTGCATCTGACAGGAAATCAATGACACAAATGTGTGTTTTAATCACACATTATATAGTGCTCTCTAAGTCTAAGTTCTAATGTTTTAGAAAAGGAATAGAATTTATACTAAGTTTACCACAGCCCCGTTATGATGGCCTGTGACTACCAGTCCATGAAGCATTTAAGCATTTGCTGAAAAATATTAAAATGAATTGGAGTGGAAGTAATTTCTATAATGTTAATGATGAGGCAAATGGCTGCACACTGTTCACATGTCCATAAATCTTTGAGTGTTTGGAAAAGCGCTATATAAATAAAATGTATTATTATTATAAATCTGCACTCCACAATCAAAATCTAAAAGAGTATCATCTTTAAGGAGGCCACAAAATGTTTGATGCAGTTTCACACAGATACACACACTCACAAGAAACACAGGTGAAATCTTTTTGAACTAAATGTTTTAACATAGAAGTTGTAGTTGTGGAAACTGTTTCCAAGCTTGTCAATAAACAAACTGCACAAAGGAATCTGTCAGCTTCTTGAGGCTTCAGGTCCCTTTAAAGAGCCATATCCCATATGTATGGTACTGTTCTCCTGTGCAGCATGGACACTACATCCTGGTGCGTCACTTTAACTACACATCGTGGCCGGAGCATGGCGTCCCAGAGTCCTGCACCACGCTCATCAAGTTTGTGCGAGCTGTGCGCACTCACAGACTGGAGACCAGTACTATAGTGGTCCACTGCAGGTAAGCCCCGCCCAGTTCCTGTTTGTCATTATACCACAGGGATCCTTGTGACTAACAGTAATGTGTGCAGCGCTGGAGTGGGCAGGACCGGCGTGTTCATTGCCCTGGATCACCTGATTCAGCACGTGAGGGACCATGACTTTGTGGACATCTATGGGCTGGTAGCTGAGTTGCGCAGTGAGCGCATGTGCATGGTCCAGAACCTGGTGAGTGGAACTGAGTGCACTTTTAAACAGTCTGGAGTGAACATGAGCCAAACACAGGTAGATTTCACTCAACGATGCCAGCGGGCTCAAATTCATTAGCCTCTTTAGTTTGGCAGGATGGATTTTCAACATAATTACCTTCTAGATTTCCAACCACATGTCGCTTGTTATGTTTGAAATGTAATAGTAAAATACCCGTGAAGGTAAAATTAAAAAAAAAAAAATCTTTGTAACTTTATTCTTTTCAAGTGTTTGGGAGAACTGGGACTGCTGTCATAGCAACAACCTAAAACAAAGCCTTTAAACTGTCAAATAAAGATTTTTCACTTTTCTAGTGAAGGACCTGCCAAATGGTAGCCTCTCTACCACAAAAGATACGTAATGCACATTTAATGGTACAATTTGAATAGCTATTATAATCCAATCATAATTTTACATTGTCACTTGATATACATTATGCCATAATCAACTATATTAGGTGCAAAATGTAGAGCTAAAAACACACATGAGCAGTTTATCATGAGCAGAATCATGTCTCACTGGTGGTTGTGGAGTGCCCTACTTGCTCCCGGTGTCCCGCTGTGATCCTGCTCCCATGTGGAAGTGTTTGGAAAATTCTCTTTGTGACAAAGGGAATGATGTGGCTGTGGATTGGAGACACACTCTGAACAGGATTCCCCATTCTTCCCCATTCTGAGTGTGACAGCAGTCTGAGCTCACCGCTCGTACCTGAAGAGTGTTAGCTTTATTTTCCTCTGCAGTGCAAAGCCACAGCTCCCTTTAGTGTGTGCAGATTATACTATGTGTCCCTCATGACGTGTTTAATCACTTCTTCATTACAGCGCAATAATGAACAACTCCCATGGACGAGCAAAGGAACACAAGAATTATAACAGATTTCAACAAAGGGTAGAGAGAAGATGATAATATAATAATAGATAACAAGGAGTTTAAAGGGTTGCCCTGGGCTGGCCCATACTGCATTTACATATATGGCAACTACATATAGACACAACAAAACTCACTCTTGTATAATTTATTTTAACATTCAATGTTTAGTGTTTTCTCAATTTCCGTTTTCCTTTTAATTGTTTAGAACTGTATTACAATTTTGTTTCCTTTTTGTACTTATAGTGTAATTCAGTAGGTACGGTGTCTAATTTCCCTTATGGATCAATAATGTTTATCCAAGTGTAATATTTGTCTCTAAATTCTGCATTGCCCAGCCTAGATCAGAGAATTACATATCATTTAGGTTTCAGATAGCTTAAAAACATGTTATAGTGTTAAGTGCTTATTGTGTTTATCTGAGAAGAGAAACTTCAAATTGTTATTGTTAATATACAATTTTGTGGTTGGATAAATATACAGGCTTTTGGGTTAGCATCTGTTCCTCTTTTGGTTATCCTGTACAGTCATTTAGTCCCCACTTATATAGAGAATGTCCCACTTTTTAATTGAAGCCACATGAATTATAAATATTGGAATTTTGTTATACCAATTGATAAAAAACACAACATATGGTGTTATTATAGTTATGGTTGCGCTGATATAAATAATAGTTGAATTTGTTTTAAAGGTGAATTCTGGTAACTTCTGGTGGAGGGTCTGTCACCTGTTTGTTTCTATGGAGATATCATTGCTCTGCTTGGTGTTCCACAGTGTGACATTCAACAGCTCTGCCTTATATTTATTCAATTACAGCTGGTTTTATAGCTCAAAAATAACTAGAAAAACAGGCATTCTGACTGTGAGTGGGGTAAACTCTCCACAGATCTGACCTGTATCTCGGTCTGGTCTCCATGAACATAGAAAGGTTTAATATACTGTGAAACATTCTAGACAAAGCAATAACATCTCCATGGAGAAAAGCATCTGAAGCACCCTCCACCAGAAAAGTTACAGAATGCACCTTTAAAGACATCATAAAATAAATCAGAAAATGACATCATTAGTAAACAACAATGGCTTGTAAATGCTTCCTTCTAGGCCCAGTATATCTTCCTGCACCAAAGTACATTAGAGCTCCTAAACAGCAAAGGGAACAGCCAGTCAATCTGGTTTGTGAGCTACTCTGCCCTGGAGAAGACCGACTCCCTCGAGGGCATGGAAGGTAAAGCACCCAGCTGAAGCACTATCTACAAAGACTCACAAACCACCCTCACTCTGCTCCCTCTGCTTTCAGGTGATGTGGAACTGGAGTGGGAGGAGACAACCATGTGAGGAGTGACGCCTCAATGCACCAGAGGAGATGTTTGAATTGAGGGCTTTAGCTGACCCTGAATCAGTGATGAGTACAGGAGGAAATGAACAGTAGAAATGAACACAAGATTTTTTACAGTCCTCCAAGAAAGCCATTCATCATGTGCTTTTTACTCAACGACATCATGTCACTACATTTTACAGTGGCTGATGTAAAAGCACAGTTTGTTTGGACCATCAGCTTTGCACTATTCCCTTGTATATAGTATTTTAGTGTGAGCCTGGCCGGTCTGGACTTTATCACTTTTGTAACAGTGTGAAGTGGGTCTGGAACTTGTCCCCTCCAAGCCTATTTCCATTGCTGTATTATATGTGCATTCAAGTTTAATCTACACATTTTTATTTCTGATATGAACATCCACCAACAGGGAATGTAAAAAAATATTTAATTTATTATTATTATTATGACTGGCCAGGCTGTTTTTTACACCTGCGTATGATTTACTCAGCCAAAGTGTATGGATTTTCACTTGTTTTGGCTATTTGTGATTTGATAAACCTGTAAGGCTGAAAATGAAAAATAAAGTGATTCAGTATTTTTTCTAGCTTTGATATCCAGGTGTTGAAAATGTAACAATACTGCAGCTGGTTTGTGTTTGTTTAACCCCTTTGTATTATTCAAGACTTTGCAGCGACCTTGACAAACTCACCGGAGAACAGCGTGTGAGAGTAAAAACTACTTTATTCTTTCATTCTCTTCAAACAAAAAGCAAAGTTAGAAATATCCATTAATAAACATGTCGATCATTATAAATCTCTTTTTAGAAATCTGGTGAGGGTGCAAAGATTACCGACAGTGCTCCACAGTGAGGATGCAGATTGGTGCGTCTCCATGACAACCACGGAGAAGGGGAGGGGGGCAGGTAGGGGTTGGGCCAAGAAATGAAGCAGGAAGAAGAAGAAACGGAGGAGGAGGCCCAACATGCCATGACAAATGGTACGAACAAATGATAAAACAAAATCTCATGCTATAGGTAATACTACAGGTCATTCATAAAAGACTCTTAAGTGACTCTAAAACCAAGCATATCCTAAAGTGAAGTTAAATTGTTGCTTTGGCTGCTATGTGCACGTCGTGTCCACCCCTTTATTGTAAATGCATGTATATAGTCGCCAATACAGCATAGCCCTTTACTAACAAGTGACACATCCCTCCTCCCATCGTCCCGCAATTATATGACATGGTGGTTTAATGATTAATGCAGATCTGAAATCATATCTGTGTATGTTGCCATGGTAACTGCGGTGTACTCTAGAAAAGCTGCCCGTCTCTCACGCACACACATAGCAGAAGGATTTTAGGAGAACCCCCTGATTTGCGATGTGAAGAATAATCATAGAACTATATAATAATTACTATATATTCTGTCTTTTTAAACTAGACTCTTCTCTGTACAAATACACAGGATACACACGGATGGGCGAACCGAACACTTGTTCAGAATAAATTTCAATTCTCTATGTACAATATATTCCATCATGATGCAAAAAGAGTGTCAGATGATTGGTGGTCCGCTGTACAGAGACACCGGCGCGCAAAAGAAACTGCACAGTGACGAAGGAGAGCATAATTCCACGGACATCTTGAGTTTCCCCCTGATTTCACATTCAGTAAAGGAATGCATCGTCTATAAGAGTCGTGTGCAAAGGGGAGCAGAGGGGGGTGTGACCTCGGTCTACCCTGTCGAAGCTTGTTATCTTCATGTTTTGTGGCAGGAATATTCCAAAACACATATATGAGGAGCAAATGTACAAAAGGAAAATAAATCTGCCTTAGTTTAGTCCCTGCTACCTGTGAGAGCGCTGGACACAACAGGGCAGAGGACAGAGAGACCGAGCCTTCCTGAGATGTGAGAGCCAAACATAAAATGCTGAAAAAACCAAAGCTCCCACACGGTGAGCAAATGAAGCACACACATATGATTGTCTCGAGGATCCCAGGGGAAGGAGTGACATTCGTACGCACTATTCTACACAACAGAAGCCTGCTACAGTGCTCCCACATTTACACAGCACACATGAAAGCTACAGTTGTGTTTGGCCTCATTATGCACACTAAGAAAAACCATAACACCGTGTGTGGAGAAGCAGAGATTCCAAACGTGCCAGTGTGCTATCTCCAAGCAGATCTAACTGCAGCTACAGGAGCGGCCACAAAACCAAAATAGATCATTTGAGATGCATTCTTGTGAGTGTTTTAGTGTCCCTTTGAAGCTGTTGCAGTCTGAAGCCTGACTCGGCTTCTTGGTTGTGGAGACAAAGCTCACGTTTGAGAGGTGACATTTGAAAATGTTGGGTCGAAGGGTTTAAAGACAGAAGCACATCTGCTCCTGGGCCTGTTCTGATGGAAATGGCCTCAGAGTCAGTGGTGTTCAAAAACACCTCCTGTAATGAGGGGCTCCTGTCTGTCTCCTACAGTGTGTCTGCTCCTGTCTGCTCCTGTCGCAGACAGGGTAACGTGCTCTCAGACGATACTGCGTGAGCCGCTGGAGTTGCGTCGGCGGATCAGAGGCATGGTGTGGTGCAGGGGCATAGGAGAGTCAGGGGGACAGAACTGGTGCGGGTGGTTGTAAGGGGGCGGAGGGGGAGGCAGGGGGGGCTGGGGGCCGTCACTGGGCACACGCACAGGGGTGGATAAAGCAGATTGAATGAGCTGGTGTGTGGCCGGACCCTGGCTCAGGAAAGCTTCCATACGTCCTCTGCCACTCTGGTCCACCACGATCACCTTGACGATCTGCTGGCACTGGATCAGGGTCTCTGGGCGCAGTTCTCCAGCCTGGACGGGGCTGAGCAAGGCAGGGGGCCCCGTCAGAGCCAGGGGGGCCGACTCAATGGCGGGCTGGCTCAGCTGATAGGTCTGCAGCCTGTTGTGAATTGACACCTAGTTTAGGGACAGTCAGAGAACGCATGAGGAGTTACCAGCCTGAACGCAGCCTGTCTGCAGCCCTCAGGTGACTGACACATGGGCATGCAGCATGCAGTGAGACCGCCACAGACTGTGTGTGTGTTTGTGAGTGTGCATGGAACCAACAAATCACAGTGAGAATAAGGCCTTCAGGGCTCCCACACATCTACGCCTGTACAGTCATCTACACTTCTGATGTACGATCTACCAGCAGAGGCATGCCCCGCCTGCTCTGACAAACTGTGTAGACAACAGTCTACAGGGAATTAACTGTAAAGTTACAAAATGCCAAAGTAATCTGACTCTGGCACTACACTACTCGATGGATATTAATAGGGAAATATTCATATAATAACAGAGTACTGAGCTGAGGTGTGGGAACCTTGGGTATGATGTGACATCCCCAAACCCAGAGAGAGAGCAAGGAGCAATGAGTGAAATGTGTGTGGAGAGGGGGGGAGAAGGAGAGGGGGGAGAAGGAGAGGGGGGTATGGAGAGAGGTAGAATAGGGGAGGACAATGAGGATGGGACAGAGGTGACACCGAGGGCATGGTGCCTCTAACACAAGAGTTCACATCTACAGGAGCAGCTGAGGATACAGAGGAGCAGAGGGAACAGTCCAGGAAAAGCAGCTTGTGCCATAGGGTCATTCTGAAGAAGAGACTTCTCTAATATCTGATTTTAGATAAGGATTGGTGTAGATTTATGATACAATAATAGAACAATAGAGGCACCACAACTGTCCCCTATGGAACTACTCAATTCAGCCTAGTAATGTTTCCTATTCTTATCTGATTCATTCTAAAGGTGCTTTTGCACCTTTGTAAATGCTTTTGCTCCCCTTCAAAGCCAATTTTATCAATGCTAATTGCAGACTAGAATATTTTAAGGGACATTTCAAAATTATCAGTAAATACAGCAATTGTTCATAATAAGGAATGCAATAAAAGATCTAACATTTAATTCTATGCAGTACAATATTATTACCTATATGAACTGTAGCTGTTATGATTTGCTATTTTTTCAAATAAATACTGGATTTTGGATGTATTTTTACATATTTTGGCAAAGGTCTGTCTCATCCATTTCCTTGACAGATCCTCAGAGGCCCACTTTAGTCCCTCCGTTCTGCACATGCACTCAGCCTGCTAATGGTGACTAGCTCATGTGTCTGTGTGGCGAGCACTGTGAGCTCCAGCTGGCCTAGCGCTGGCTTAAAGGAGTGGGCCTGGCAGTGCTGATGAAAGAGGCCGTGATGTCTGCAGAGTGGAGGGTTGGTGGACCCTCTACCGCTGCACACACAGCCCTTTGTTTGTGGCTGCAGAGCGCTGCTGTGCCCCGGGCGCAGATTTCACTTTGACAGTACAGCCGTGGAGAACGCACTTTTGCTCTAGTGCAGGTTTGTTCTAAAGCACATAGAGACACTTACCACAGTGAGCAGAAAGAGACACTCACCTCCACTGTGTTGTTGTTGCCGGTTTTGTCATAAACGTCCTGTGCGCCTGTGGGAAAGGAGCAGCGCAGAGAGGGAAGCACAGAGATCAAGTCAAGGAGATGTCAAAGATATAAAGCTGAATGTATAAGAGGATATATAGTTGGGCAAATAGGATACACTGCACTACACTGTAAGTCACTGCACAATTACATCTGTTTTAAGGCACTGTCATAAATATACATAGATATTCCATCTGCCTATCAAGTCTATATGCTGAAATAACCTAAATGCTAAAATAACTATAAAGCAAAGCATTATTTTACAGTCAAAATAATGACTCTTGGTAATTTTTTTACATACCAATAATTCTTCTTTCTTAGATTAAAAGTACAGAATTAATTAAAATAAAAATCCAAGGGACATTTTTCTGTTTTCCAATACCAATTTGCCAAGCCTTATTGAGATGCAGTACTTTCCAAGTTGTGAGCCACCTCATTAAAGTAGACCTATTCTGCAAAATTACATTTTTACAGCCTTTAACTGTTATAGTTGTTTCCCTTCTCATTTACTCTTTAAAGTTGTATTTAGCGTTATTCATGCATGTTTTAGTCATCTTTATTCATTACTGTATTCAAGTAATGATCTATCCCCATTTACACCAGTACACACCCACTGC